GATCAAAGGGAATAGGATACTAGTCCCCAACTACTTGAAACAATGCTACAGAAGGCTATAATCTATCCTGAATCCTCTCAGAGGGTAGGATAATGGATTTAAATTACAAGAATGTCTGTGGGAAGAAAGTCCCACGGAGCAAAATTCTATGAATTCTTCCAAATCTATGATTCTATCATTTTAGTTAATACAGAGTTAACTAAATTTTAGTGGTTTTTTAGATGCATTAAATGTGTCAGTGACAATGGCAGATGTGCAATAATAAAATTTGAAACGTGATACATTTTCATGTCCTAAATGAACCTGCACATCTTTGAGAACTAGCATTTGACAATGTAAAAAAAAAAAAAACCCTTCCCAGGCCAGACAATTGTATAAATATATGCACAGACATAATCAAAATTCTTATCTGAAATTCAAGAAAAGTAATCCTGGAAATAAAAAATAATTAACAAAGATGACATGAAAAAAATCAATCCTCCAGCCAAGCTTGGTCTTTTTCATCACTAAAACACAGAAAAGTCCTTGGCACCCAGATTAGTATAATAGAATATATCTACAGTAAATAAATCCATCCACTTACAAGTATTATCTGAAAATATTCAAATGACTACAGAGAACATATTCTTCACACCCGAAATGTAAATGGTTTCCTGATCAGTAATAAGCTTTATGGAAGCAGAGTGTGCCTCTAGAACAAATTATTCCTTTCTACGAGTACAATCATGTTTTAATCTTATTGTCCTGCCAATTTTGGGAGAGGGGAGGGAGGGGCAGAGGGAAGTAGATCAGGTTTATCAAGTAGGGAATTTGGGAAGGAAGAGTTTTCATTTCAATGGCTTCTACTTGTGCTAAAGATTTTCAGTACATAATAGAGCAATTCATTTAATCGTTGTGAAAAGAACAGCTTTTAATTTCTTTTCATTTTTTTCTTCATCTCATTCCAAAATACCCTTCAACCCTTTGACACATCTCCTTTGTAAATCCATGATAATAAAGTTACCCCAGTCACTCTTCTGGCTCTCTATTCATATATTCCATTTCATTATTAAGAAATCAGACAATTTAATTTAAATATACAGTGTAACTTATTTATCTATATTGTTCTTGTAACCTTTCATTTTTAAATTCATATTTAAATCAGCCTCAACCTCAGTCTTAGCCAGTAAAATGTGTACCCCTTCTATAACATCTTTTAAATCCAGTTTTATGATAGCAGACAATTTAAGAGTAACTTCTGTGTGCATTGTTTCCATATATCCTTAAATTCATTCAAAACCATATTGTGCCCTATTCTATATTAGTAGATCTCTTCTCCTTTAATTAATCTTTATTTCTGACTGTTCCTATTAATGTACAACCTTCAAAGCCCAATATTAATGGGTTTTTTTTTCCTAATCAACAGCATTTTCTCACAGGAAAATTCAATTTCAAAATCTTTTATTTTTTCCAATAGAATTATAAACTACCACTTTTCCCACAGGAAGAATTATTTTATTTTTTCCAAAATCTTATTTCAGATCCATCCCCTAGTTTGTTTATAGCTTTACAAAATCAGCTCTCTAATCACCCTTTTCCTATTTATTCCAAAATAAGAACTTGCATAAGTCCGTGAACTTGTAGAAAATCTCTTTCACTAAGAAAGAGACTCACAGAATGCAATGAAGTTTGCCATTTGGAAGGTTCCTAATAACCGAAAACCAGCTAGCAAGTAATTTCCAGAAATGATTAAGAAAGGAAGCATGTGAATTCTGTGTCTATAAAAGCCCCAGATGGGGCTTAGAGCGAGATGGTGACCTCTCAGATCCCAGACCATTAAACCACTATCTTGCAGTATTTTCCCAGAAGCTATTGCATAGAATGTACGTGGGCTCTCCCAAGTTCTCTCTTATCCAGAGAGGAATTCTCAGAAGTCATTCACTGGCTCTTCATTCCATTCCAGTGGTCATCAGCAGTGAGAGAAGACGGCAAGGAAGTAACAGGCAACAGAGGGAAAGCAGAACTGCTTAACTCATTCTTTGCATCGGTCTCCGCACCAAAACAAACTATAGCTCAACCCACCAAAAACATAACTGTAGTAGACAGACCAGAAATGAAAGTTAAAATAAGCAAAAAAAAAAAAAATAGTAAGAGAACACCTGTCTGATCTTGATGAATACAAATCACCAGGGTCTGATGGATTAGATCCCAGAGTTTTAAAGGAGCTGGCAGAGGTCATCTCCGAACCACGATACCATATCTTTTAAAAATCCTGGAACACCAGGGAACTACCAGAGGACTGGAAAAGAGCTGATGTGGTTCCTATCTTCAAAAAAGGAGAAAAAAAAAGCAGACCCAGGAAACAGACCAATCAACCTAAAATCAATACCTGGGAAGATACTGGAAAAGATAATAATAAAAAAACAGATTTGCCAACATCTAGAAACAAGTAAAGTAATAACTAGCAGTCAGCACTAGCGTTTGTTAAAAATGGATCATGTCAAACCAATCTTATTTCATTCTTCAACATAGTGACTAAATTAGTAGACCAGCAAAATACTGTGGACATAATATACTTAGATTTCAGCAAGGCATTCGACAAAGTAGACCACAACCTACTTTTTGATAAGCTAGAAAAAAGTGGGATAGATAGCACCACCACTAGATAGATTCACAACTGGCTGACAAACCGTACTCAATATGTAGTCCTTAATGGGTTTAAGTCTACATGGAGGGAAGTAAGCAGTGGAGTGCCACAAGGTTCCATCTTAGGCCCATTACTCTTCAATATCTTCATTAACAACATAGATGAGGGAATAGAGGGGGAACTTACCAAATTTGCAGATGATACTAAGCTGGCAGGAATAGCTAACACCCAAGAAGATAGGCTTAAGATCCAGATGGTTCTTGACAGAGTGGAACACTGGGCCATATTTAACAAAATGAAATTCAATGTAGAGAAAAGTCCCATTTAGGCAAGAAAAACCAAAAATACACATACAGACTGGGTAAAACCAGGCTTAATAGCAGTAACTCTGAGAGGGATCTTGGAGTCTTAGTGAACAACCAGCTAAATATGAGCCAGCAGTGTGCAGCAGCAGCCAAAAAAGCTAATCAATCCTAAATTGCATTAGCAGAGGGATACAATCAAGATCAAGTGAGGTACTAATACCACTCTACTTACTAAGTGTGGCCTTAGTAAGACCACACTTAGAGTACTGCATCCAGTTTTGGTCACCACATTATAAAAAAGATGTTGAGACTCTAGAAAAAGTATAGAGAAAAGCAACTAAGATGATTAGGGGACTGGAGACTAAAACATATAAAGAACGATTACAGGAACTGGGAATGGCTAGTCTAATGAAGAGGAGGACCAGTGGAGATATGATAGCTGTGTTCCAATGTTTGAGGGGCTGCCATAGAGAGGAGTGGGTCAAGCTATTTTCTAAAGCACCTGAAGGTCAGACAAGGAATAATCGATGGAAACTGAACAAGGAGAGATTTGACACCCCTGGAAATTAGGAGAAACTTTCTGATAGTGAGAACAATCAACCAATGGAACGGCTTGCCCTTGGAAGTTGTGGGAGCACCATCACTTGAGACTTTCAAGAAGAGATTGGATTCCCATCTGTCAGAAATGGTATAGGGTCTCTGTTCCGGACTAGCAGGCTCGAAAGCCTGCAACTCTGATTGGCCCGCTGATAGCAGATCGTGATTGGTCAACTCAGACTGATCCGATTGGCTAGTAAACGGGCTGCCGCGATTGGCCCAGCCAAGCGTGGCAAACTCAAATCACCGTCATTGGCTGCCTAGCCGCAGCCAGCCCTATATAAGGGGCTGCTGGGGCTGGGATATTTCACTCAGATCTGAAGTCACTAATAAAGAGCTGTTGTTGCTATCTGAGTCTTGTCTCCGTCATTGAACCTATCCTCCCAGATCTAACAGTCTCCTGCTTGGGCAGGGAGTTGGACTAGATGACTTACAAGGTCCCTTCCAACTCTGATTATCTGTTATTTGTTAGCTCTGCTCTCAGTGGAATCATTGCTTCCCTGGTAATCTCCAGTTTAAAAGGTTTTCTTCTATTGCAGGGGTGTCAAACTCACAGCCCGTGGGCCAGATGCATCACACACCGGCCACTCCCACCCCCATTTTAATGAAAGGGGGAGGAAGTTGTGATATGTCACATGACGACATGACAACATATATTTGACACCCCTGTTCTATTGGATAAATGTGAAAAATATTCCTACTTAAGAGATTTAGTATTTACTTTAGAGATTCGTATTCCTACTTAAAAGATATATGGTACAGGTAGTCCTTGACTTACAACAGTTCATTTAGTGACTGTTAAAAATTACAATATGCTGAAAAAAGTTACTTATGACCATTTTTCATAGTTATGACCCTTGCAACATCCCCAAGCTCACGCAATCAAAATTCAGATGCTTGGCAATTGATTCGTATTTATGACGGTTGCAGTGTCCCAGAGTCATGTGATCATCTTTCTGACAAGCAAAATCAATGGGGAAGCCAGATTCACGTAACAACTGTGTTACTAAAACTTAATAACTGCAGTGATTCAATTAATAAATATGGCAAGAAAGCTTGTAAGATGGGGCAAAACTCACTTAGCATCCAAAATTTGGGGCTCAATTGTGGTCGTAAGTTGAGAACTGGCTGTATTCCGTTACAGCAGAAGAGGTCTAGGATGCGATTTTCTTCTGCCAACAAATCACAGTGTCATATTATTCTAAAAACTTTCTTCTAAATGACCCTTTGGATCATGCTCTGTTCTCTGATTTTCTCTTTAACCCAGTACCACTTGTTGAGTGGAGCATTAATGCCAGTTTACAGGAATTTAGTCTTAAGGATCCGAGCAACATTTGTCACCTCAGACTTTGAGGAATGCTGAAGCCCAGAAGCCACATAGTTAATATCAAAAGGGCCAGCCCTCGTCCCTGCTGCTTCATGATTGGCTACCCATACTTCGCTTCATCCTTTTTATACTAGCTGTTGAGCTGGAAGGTGATAACGTGTTGACACAGAGAGAAAGAGAGAGAAACACAAAAGAGCATCTAGAGCAAGCAGCCACACAGATTTCTGTGGAAGCGAGGCCCGGCAGGGGTGCAGGAGCCCTGTCCCTCTTGCTTTCCAACCATGAAGGGCAGACTGAAAGGAGCCTGGATCCTTTCCTTGCTCTTGGCTGGTTTATTTCAGCCCAGCCTGGGGCAGGAACAACAGGAGGTAAGACATCGTAGCGCTGTTTCAAGGAGGGAGGTTTCTGAATTGGGTAGAAGAATATAATCAGACCAGGCAGGTGATGCGTTCTGGTTTTCACGCCAGACAGTGTTTGCCTGCAGCTCTGGAGGTTTACAGTATTTGTGACAGAGTAATGATGCAGACATCTTAGGAATCTGTAGGTACTAGCAGTCAATCCAAACTGGTTAAATGAGGGCTAAATCCACTCTTCCAGAGTCACGCTATTAGAAAGAGAAAGACTGAAATGAATCCCAGCTTAGTTTAGCCATCTGGCATTATTTTATTTCAGCGTTGTTATAGTGTTGTATATTGTAACAAGGTGTATCGGGGGTTGGCATTTATTTATTACGATAAGACCCTCGTGTGAACCTCTTCTGTCAGGCTGCTACACCAAAGGATAAAGAAGGTATTTCTCCCAGCATGAACCAGCAGTTCCCCAACAACCAGTGAAAGGTAATGAAGGTGTTTGCCTAGCAATAGTTTAGCATGCTGTCCTTTCACCCCTGAGATTTTTATCTGTTGGCTACAATGAAAGCAATTTGCGACCTCAGCAGGCTTGATTCAACAAGACAGGAGATAGGGGCACATTTTTCAGCCCGATTAAATAAATGCAATCTTGTAAATTCCATCTAGGATTCAGGCTCTGCCGATGCTGCTGGGCTGGGCACCAGGTAAACCTGAGCTGCAAATACACTTTGGGGTAACATGAAAGGCTAGTTCTCTACCCTGCAGGGTGGCTGTGAAATAAATTGAAAGTCATTTTTCTTTCAAAAGTACAATTCAACATGATATTAACGATGATGGGAAAGAAAAGATGGACGCATCTTTTTCAAGATCTTTCCCTCACCTGTCCAAGCAGAGAAAGGGAGACCCTGGAAGTAAGAAAGGAACTCAGAATTACAGCTCTCCCTGGGGAGGTGAATATTAACCCAGCAAAGAAAAAACTGTTCCAGGAGTGTGCTGCAATTAGCAAAACAAATATGGTGGCACTCTTCTACGTGGCCGCCTGTATTGAACACAGATCATCGTCAAAGGACTTTTTTCCACCAAGAACTGTGGTATTTGCACAGGCAAACTTTGGCAAACATTGCGACTGTGCTGAGGTCAGAAGAGCAGTGAAAGCTGCCAGTGCTAACAGAGGAAGTTTAGTGGCCAATCTATCATGTCAACTAGTGTTTCTCAAATTCAGTAATTTTAATATGTGCGGACTTCAACTCCCAGAATTCCTCAGCCAGCCTTCTGGCAAATAAACTATTATATTCTCAGAGTACATAAACTGGCAGGCAAAATATTGCATTCTTAGAGCACATAAACATGTATTTAATCAGTGTGGAAACCATTTGTTAATAAGATTCTGGCTCCACTTTTAAGCAGTAAGGTCTATGTGAGAACAGAATTAACATCTCAAAAGTTTTGTGGCACCTTCACATTTGTTACAGCATACTTTTCCTGAATAACCTGGAATTTTTTTCAGTTGCTTCAGGTATTTAAGATTGGGCTGAAAACAAGATTATTATTATTATTCTGGAATATTAATAAAAACCTTTCCAAATCTATCGCACACCCTTACGCATACAGCTACCGTAGTCCATGACTTACGACTGCAATTGTGCCCAACATTTCTGTTGCTAAGCGAGACATTTTTAAAGTGAATTTTGCCCTGTTTTACGACCTTTACTGCCACTGTTGTTAAGTGAATCACTGCAGTTGTTAATTTAATCACATGGTTGTTAAGTGGTTTTCCCATTGAATTAGCTTGTAGGAAGGTGGCAAAAGGTGAACACTTGACCCTGGGACACTGCAACCGTCATAAATATGAGTCAGTTGCCAAGCGTCTAAATTCTGATCGTGTGACTATGAGGATTTTGCAACAGTCGTAACTGTAAAAAATGGTCATATGTTACTGTTTTCAATGGCTTTGCAACTTTGAAAGGTCCCTAAATGAGCTGTTGTAAGTCAAGGACTATCTGTATAATGTGTTTTCCTTCTTCTAATAAGAAGTTATACTTGATTTCTTTTTTTTGGTCACCTGAATATTCTTTAAAAAAATTAAAAAAGTATTGTTTCATAAAAAAAGAGTAAGAAGAACAACTGTGGGGATAGCCAGATTTCTCCTATCCAGGTTGCTGTTTCCAGGCGTTATACTTTCTACCTATCTGCCTCTCTGGGTGGCAACAAAATTGGGTGGATATACACATGATATATAATAATGACATTATCCCTAAGTGTGTTACCCCTGAGTGTACAAAGATGATTGTGCAACTCATGCTAGAGTCTAACCTATACACTTAGCTGGGTGTAAATACTGAGAGTCTCAATGGAATTTAGTTTCATAACTTGTTGATAATGAATTACTATTTCTTACAGCCATTTGTCAGAAAAAATAGTAAACATGTCTAGAATTGTGATGGTATGTCTTTATATAATATATAAAGTTATTTATATAATTAGATAGATAATATAATATGCACCCTTTCACATACAGGAAATGCTAAAGCATTATAATTGCTCTTAATATGTACATGATTTGCTACAAAATTGCCTTATTATTTTGATTCTGAATCAGATTTTGACAGGACTTCAGTTATCTCATCAAAATGAGGAAACAAGATCCTGCTCGTATGTTCCTAATTCTCAACCAATCCCAGATCGAGGCAAGGTAGGATCTTCTAGTGTTTCTTGATTTCAGGAACAATCTACTTTGGCCTACTTGTATATTCTTTCTTTCTTTCTTTATTTTATTTTGTCAAGTGATTATAAAATAACAGGTATAAGTATAAACATGGTTATGAATACATGAAATGGATACATACAAGATTATATATATGTTCTGGAATACTGGATGCTCCGCTTAGAGAAGAATGTGGTTACCAACTCTGTTTTGAGTACCATATATATGAATCATCTTGAGCACCATATATGGGAAAGTAGGCTATGATTTTGTAATAAGCTCAGTATTCGTACTGAGGAAAATGTCGCTGGCCATAATTAAGATTTCCTAGGTTTGCAAATAAACACTCAAAGACAAACTAGAACTCAAAGGAAAATAATGATGATGACTGCTTCTTTTTTTTTTTACACTGTACAAAAATGTGGTTGGGTTGTGGGGATTTGCATATTTTAAAAGACTTCTTTATACTTAGGTTAATTCACATTTTTAAAATTATTTTTGTCACATTTCAGATCTGAGTCTGATTTGCAAATCTCCATTGACATGTGGGGGGAAGGAAAGTGTTCATGTAGAATCCTGAGAGTTTATCAATTCAGACTTTTTTCCACATGTTTTAATTTAGCCCAATAAAAGCAAATTTCATCTTGCCATGCATTGTTTGGAGAGAGAGGGAGAGAGAGGAAGGGAGAGGGAAAGGAAGAGGGAGGGAGGGGGAGAGAGACAGAGAAAGAGAGACACACAGAGAGAGACAGGGGAGACAGTGGGAGAGAGAAAATGAAACTCAGTCTTGTTGGCATCTTTGCTAGGGTAAAATAGGAAATTTCTTGATATTTTTTTCTTGATACTTTTTCACCACTGCCTTTTCTTTCTCTAAAAACAATTAGCTCAAGTTAATAGTATGAAATTGCAACTTTGAAATTTGGCATTTTACAGTATACCAATTTGCTAGTCAGTGTCATACGCCAAGTTTCCCTCCCAAATCGAAAACTTTGCTAAACTAAATAAAATTGAAATAAAATATTCTGAACAAGAGACTTGAAGTAATGTAGGGTTAAGAATTTCTAAATTTATGTAATTTACTGACTGGTACATTGCCTGTTAAACTACAAAGGCTGAGGAAAGAGATGGTGAATTGTCAACTTATTCTTTAACTGAAGCTTGCTCTTTACAATGACATTTGCCCTAAAATGGATACCATTTTAGAAGTGAAGAAACCAGATTTTGTAATCTAGTGTTTTATACGTCATAAAGTCTAGACTGGGCATAGTAGATGCATAATTGTTACGCCAAGATGACATGGAATATTGCATACATTAGTGGAAGCACTGTACACAATAAGGAACTACAGATTAAATTAATATTCCAGCTTAGCATGTTAAGCAATCTTATAACCTATATTATATCCTTATTTATTAAAAGTGAATTAAACATACATGGTGTTTGTTCCACCTGTTTTTTTTAAACTGAATGTAAATTAACTGGAATAATCTAAAGCCACTGCATTTTCATATTATTAATACATTTCTTTAAGATGTGAAATTCATCTGAGGTTAAACATGCAGTCCCCACAAATGTTTCCCAGAGATGTTAATGTCTTTCTAACAGCCAAAACTTCAAAAAGTAAAATATGCCATGTTGATGAAAAGGCTTCACCTTTATCTTTTCAAGCGGTTTTTTTAAATAATGCTGATAAGAGTAAGAGTGTTCCAGCTTTTCAGTATATCTGAAATTGCAAATTAGTCATTCATTTTGGACCATGTTTACACTATTTTGCCAATTTGGTAAAAGGAAAACAAAAAAGTGCATGAAACAGAACAAAGATTTGTGTGCATGGTTGGTGCACATTTTGTCAAAGGAAACATTTTAATGGGAACAAAATGCCACTAGTTCTGTTCCTATTATTTCTACTGGCCTTCCAAACCTATAGTTACATTTAGCTCTAGGCAGCTATCTATGCTTCAAAGCATTGAGTTGTATTAAAGACAGAATAGTTTGCTCTCAATTTGATACGCTCCGACTACATTGGACTTGAGCTTCTATAGTGGTTTCTGGGAATTATGATTGAGAGTTAAAGTTTAACACTTTTCTCTAGTAGAGGAAAGCTGATGTAAGATTTTTTTTTTCTTTTCTTTCCATGGATCCTACATATATAGCTGAGTGATAAATGTGATTTTGTTTAAGTAATTCCTGTTACTTAATTTCTGTTGTTCAGGAACAATTCATACAAACAAAAAGGATCAAGAAATTTGTCTGATGTAGCTGTTTTTAATGTTAGTAGGTTAAACATGACATCCTGAATGCTCCAAAACCGGAAATTTTAAAGAAGAGATTGGACATTCACTTGGCTGAAATGGTATAGGGTTTCCTACCTGATCAGGAGGTTGAACTAGAACAGACTAAAACACTGTTATTCTACTGTAAACCCCTGATTTAGTACTGGAGAGACTTCTGCCAGCTTCCAAACCTCCTGAAGGAGTTCCATGAAAGAGAGCAGTTGTGGTGTCTTCCTTCGTCCTTTAAGTTGAAATGTTTCTTATATCCATTAATTTGCTTCTAGGTTGTGCTTCTTTCCCTTTACACATTCATTGTCTTGAAAGGTGAAGACTTTAGCAAGTATGATTGTAACATATATTGAGATATTACCTCAATACGTTTCATGCTTTTTCTGCTGATGAAAGCTTCTGATGAAATTAAACAGCCTGTTCCATTTCAGGAGCTGGAGCTTGGGTTATAGACAAGATACTAAACCGAACTGCAGTTGGTGTGGGAATCTGGACCACAAGTTAGAGCTCATGGAAGTAGGACTATTATCAGTGGTGGGATTCAGCCAGTTCGCACCACTTCAGGAGAACCGGTTGTTAACTTTCTGATCAGTTTGGTGAACTGGTTGTTGGAAGAAATAATTAGGGCAGAGAACCAGTTGTTAAAATTACCACTGACTATTATGTCTTGTCCTGTCTTCCAGGTGGATTGCTATGACTCAGTTAAAGGATCAGCCCATGATTACGGGGCTTTCTCTTTATCTGGTGAATACATCGCCTTCCAGAAATATGTGGGGAAGTATATCCTCTTTGTAAATGTGGCCACTTACTGAGGACTAACAGCACAATATCTTGGTAAGAACTTGAACTAAGAAGAGAAGTACATTCTAACACAATCTGTTGCAAAACTCTAGCAACTTTATATTTACACCCAGATGGAAATGCTCAGAAGTATTCAATAATTGCATCCCATAGTCCAGATTTTATCAGTCATTGAAGGCTGAGAGTTAGAATAAAGACTTCCTCATGTTGAATTTGACTTCTAGTAACGACTTTGGTATATTCACGTACTTTTACTGGCAGCAGTAAGTTGTGATATATAATAAGATGGATGATGGCTCTTTTCCACAACATTACATTTCATGAAGTACTGTGAAGGAAAAACATGGCAATGAAACTATATTGTATTAAGCCATCTAAGGTTTAGGGGGATATCTTATATATTAAAAGTCATGACAATGGACTTGTCCCAGTTTAGGCCACTCCACAATGGTGGTTGTACTGATCTCAGATCAGTGATGTTCCCCGTCATTCCTTCATTCCAGGGCTTGGGAAACCAAGCCAGTCATCTCCTGGTTTAGCCTTTTGCTCCAAAGAAAAGGCCCCAAAGATATTTTTATCATAGTGTTTGCTCTGGAGCTGCTGGCATGTAATTTCTCAGCAACAGGAACTTCTACCTCATCCCCTTACTTGGGGTTATGACAGTCATTGGACCACTGTGGTGCAGAACCAGCCCATCCCTCAACCTCCAACAGGAAGTGTTGTTGCTTGTTCTATATCACAGGTGTCAAACCGGATTTCTTCAAGGGCTGGATCAGCATTGTATTTCTCCTCCTCCTCAATCTCCTCCAGCTGGGGGGAGGGGAGATGGATGCCTCTTGCAGCACCCTGCTGGCCAAAATGGGGCATGTGGAGGCCATGTGCTCCCCAGCACCCCATTTGGGCCGGCAAAGTGCTGCAGAAGGCTGTCCAAGCCAAAAACGGCATGCCCCATTTTGGCTGCCACAGGCACAGGCTGATCCTTTGTCCTTTGTAAGCCAACCCCACAGGCCAGATTTAAGCACCCTGCTGGCTGCATACAGCCCACGGGCCTTGAGTTTGACATCCCTATATAGCAATAGCACTTAGACTTACAGTATATACCGCTTCACAGTGTTTTACAGCCCTCTCTTAGTGGTTTACAGAGTCAGCATATTGTCCCCAACAGTATGGGTTCACTGACCTCGGAAGGCTGTGTCAACCTTGAGTTGGTGAGAAACAAGTTGTCAAACTGCGGGCAGCTGGCAGTCAGCAGAAGTAGCCTGGAGTACTGCACCACCACGGCTGACCATATGATGGCCAGATAACAGTTTTCTTCTTTCAAAAAGAACAAGAAAGGGACAGACCATCTCTTTGCTCTCCATTTAGGCCTCTCCTTTACAATCACCATGAAGATTTGTCAGGGCAAGGAGAAAAAGAGCCCTATGCTGTGATTTGTTTAAAAAAAAGTCATTTCAAATTTAAGATAGCAAAGATTGTGGCTATGTGAAATGCCTTACAGAAAGTTCAGCAATGCTCAATAGAATGTTCATGAGCTGATAGGATGTTCAAATTACAGTCCTATTGCTGAAGAATCCTATTGCTTTATCTAACAGAACTGAATGCACTACAAAATTCACTGAGAACTGACCGACTGGTTATCCTAGGCTTCCCATGCAATCAATTTGGAAAACAAGAACCTGGACAGAATTCTGAAATCCTTCAAGGAATAAAGTGAGTTTATGCAAGAAGTGCCTTCCTGACTATGCTACTCCTCGCTTGTATTGAGGTAGCCTAAGTCTTTCGCACTGTTATGCTCTTTGGGCTGTTCCTAAGCCAGAAATGATTACTCTCCAAACACACTTCTCAGTCTCTTTCACAAGACTTATTGAAAAAAAAGTTCCTAGTAGGATTCTGACAAATAAATTTGTTCCCATTGAAAACCAGCGTGTCCCACAAGTTAAGGGAGAAACTTCTCTGTTTTCTTTTGAACTACCTTCCACTAGAAAGCCACTTAATATTTTCATTAATAACTGGGCCTGCAGCTGGTTATTTAATCAATGGTCTCATTATTTTATCAGTCTGGAACCAGCTGATCCTTTCATTGATCTTAATGAAAATTGGGCAACCAATGGAACTTTTCACCCAAGAATAGATGAGAATTTGGTATCCACGGGCCACACTTATATAGGGTAGTTTTGGAGATGCTTGAAGGTTTAAATTAGTAAAATGACGAGCTACTTTCACAGATTGTATTTTTAGAAAGTCCCTCAACTTTGCCATGGATTAGATGCCTTAAGCCAAACATGTCACTTTTGTTTGACATCCTCTTTACCATCCCCACCCCCCAAAATCAGAAAATTTATATTCAGCAGTTTGCCAACAATTTCAATACTGAGTTGTTGGAGCTTTAAGGGTTGTGACATAAAAGGATTTGCACTGCATGGGTCTTACCCATGCAACTTTGAACTCCAAGCAATGGTTTTTTTTTTTTTAAGTCATATTAATAGCTGCAGAGCCAGATAGATACAAGGGCTCTTGGTCAGGTCTGATATAGAAGTGAGAAGTTCTTGTTTCATTTCTTGTTTCTATTAATGTTCTTCTTTTGTTCCAGATATGTCAGACCAGGGGGAGGCTATGTCCCCAATTTCCAACTCTTTCAAAAAGGTGACGTAAATGGGGAAAATGAACAGCAAATTTACACCTTCCTGAAGGTTTGTATTGACTGCACTGTTTCACAGATGATGAACAATAAGATTTGGGTGATATTAGGGACAAGCGTCTATTGCCTCAATCTTAAAATTTTGTCTACTTATGCAATGTTCCTGTAGGCATGTGGATGGAAGGCAAAATTCTCCCAATATTTTTATTTATTTCTTCCAAAAAATTTCCTCTGAAGGGATGGAAAATCTTCTAGGTGGTGTGATACTGGAGAGCTGCAGAGAATGAGTAAAAAAAATTACCTTTCTCCCTTGTGATAATTGGAAGTCTTAATGCAGCAGAAAATATTATTCAAGACAGAGCAATGTAGAACCCAAAATATATGTTATTTATGCAAACCAAAATTAAGGTGGAATTGCTTAGAAAGTGAGGGATAGCTGAATTTTAAGGATCATTCTACAAAGCAACAGCGAATCAGCTTGGAATAGAATATATAATTTCATAACAAGGGGTCGTTGATGCTCTCTGAGCTTGATTGTTTTCTTGCAAACATTTCATTACCCAAACTAGATAACCTATCTGATATTACCTTGTATGGGTAATAAAATGTCTGCAAGAAAACAATCAAGCTCAGAGAGTACCAAGAACTCCTCATTTCAACCCTGAACTACAAATATCACTCCTGCATTCGTAACTTCGCAATAAACATTTTAAGCCTCTTAGAAATTCAAATATTATTGAAATAAAGTATGCTGTCTTCTAAATTTTGTTCCCAGTATTCTAAATTTCTCCCTCTCTCTCCATACTACCATCCCTACGGCCATTAAATTAAAGATGAAAAAAACCCTCACAATTCTAATTTTAGAAACACTAACAAAATTTAACTTTTTTTTTTCCTGGTAGAACTCCTGTCCACCAGTTGTGGAAACTTTTGGTGACACAACGAGACTCTTCTGGTCACCTTTGAAGATCCATGACATTAAGTGGAATTTTGAGAAATTTTTGGTTAATCCTCAAGGAAAGCCTGTGATGAGGTGGTTTCACCGGACAAATGTTTCCACTGTAAAGAATGATATCATAAGATATATGAGGAAAAACAGAAATGGGTAGACTCCATACAAATGAAGATGGATTCGGGGGTGGACGGGGGGGGAGACAAGCTGCAGACATATCCAGACATATTCATTTTCTTCGGTCAAATAATTGAACATGCAAATATCTTTTATTCAAAGCTAAAATAAGGTTCAGTTAGAATTTACCTGACAGGGTGGCAGTTTACATACTAATATTGCTAAATATTCATATCAAAATTCTTAATATTAACTAACGTATTTTCAAGCGCAACTTTATAAAACCATGTTGATTTCAGTTGACTCAATGATAGCTTTAGTTTCCACAAGATGGAACCAATACGTATTGGGAAACCATTTTAGTAACTTCAGATACTGCTTCAAAATCTGTTACCTGAGCATGAGTAACAAAAGAAAATCTTTTGGTTTTGCATCTCTAGTATATTATGGCACTAAAGAAAAATGAAAACTATTCCTTCCTTTCATTGTTAACATATTGAAGCAGGATATATTGTATAAATTTTAAAAACAACAAAATTAAGGTGTCTGTGATTCTTGGTCATCCATGGTTGTCCAAGGTTATGCTTTTTCAAGAGGCAACTGAACTTTCTGTTTTTTCTTTGAAGACATTTTGCTTCTCATCCAAGAAGCTTCTTCAGGAGTGAAATATCTTCAAAGAAAAAAACAGAAAGTCCAGCTGCCTCTTGAAAAAGCACCTTTGGGGCAACAAAATTAAGATTTTTTTAAAAAAATTACAAGCTATACATTGGCCCATTTTCACAGTATTAAAGTCAATCTAGTTTATTTTTAGCAATTTAGCAACTCATTTCTCACATTGGATGAACATTAAATACTATGTTCATTAAGGATTTTCCACTTAATTTTGTTGTTTTAAATTGCTATGTTATTTTGGTTCTAGCAAAAGAATTATTAATCAGAATTCAGGCACATAATCAAGAGTCTCTTATGACACCTTAAAGGCTGCAAATCTGTTGTAAGTCTTTGTTGTTAAGAAACAGAAATTGCACCCTTTGATCTCCTTTCTACGATCCATCTGGTTTATACACAGTTCTACTGAAAATAAGACGAGCCTTCTAATATAGATGGAATTAATACTTTTGGCATCTCTGGATAAAGGGCAGTTTGCCTCCCTTCCTTAAAATGTAGAATAGAGACCCCATCTGGAGAATTTATGAACTGGAATTTCTTAAATGACTGACTCTCTTTCTGACAGTGGAGGAACGAGAGGAAAGGATTTGGGGGCAAGGAAAATGCATCAGAATGACGGTTAGATCTGAAAACTCCATACGAGTGGGACCTGGCCTAAGACTGCAAGGCAGTGGAGTAGTTCTTTAGTGCATTCAGCTACTTCACTACAACCTCTGCAGAGATGTATTTCTTCCTTATCCCAAGATCCCAGCAGCCTCTCTAACCTCCACCACATCTAAGAACATTGCCTAATAAAAACTGCAAATTCTCAGCGCACTTCCGTTGTGAGAGACTCTCTTTCCATACAGATCTTTTTTACTACTTTCATCATGCAACCATTTTCGTATTATGAAAGAATCAGGATTTCAGGTTTGACTGTATCGGATATATCACATTGCTTCTTGGAAAGGCCATGTGTGCATACAGTTTACACATTAACTTTCATACACACATATAAAATATATAGGTGATGATTCCACATTCAATGGCAGAAGCTGAAAAAGACTGCTGTATATGGGCTGCAGGGCTCTGGATGCTCACTAAATGACATGCACAATTTAATTGTCTGCTGTACCTTTTTTCCTGCCTTCTAGAGTTTTTCTGGATTTTGATAGTTCAGATATATTAGCACTCATGTTTGCAGGGTTGAATAGATGATTTCTAGGTTTATAGCTCACAATGTTGGACCCAGGATGGCAGGCACCAAAAGCACGTGTGATAGACACTATATTGAGCTAAATACATTCTCCCTGATTTCAAGCATGAATTCTTAAGGGTAGAAAAGGCAGCAGTGCTTTTCCCTGAATTTATTTTCATAATATCCACATCCAGAAAAGATCCAGCTGTGTGTGAACACCTATTTCCCCCTTTATCAATATTGCAGAGAATTGTTTGGGGGGCATACCACATACCTCTATTTCCTTTCATAGCAATAAAAACAAGCATGCCACAAAGAACATCTTTCATAAGAGCAAAACTCAGATACAGAACTCCAGGCACTGCCCAGGAAAACCTGTATTTTATAACTTTTTTATATTTTTATATATTTTTTATATTTTTTAATATATATATTTTTTATAATTTTATAACTGAATATAGTTAAGATAATTTTACACAATTTTTTAAAAGCTTTTTTGAAACCAGAATAGTTGGTAAAATATTGCCCTGCATAAATACAGCAGCAGCTTCTACTTAGAACTTCTCAAAAAGTTTTATAAAGACATCTCCGTTTAGAGACTGTAGACAGACCAAATACCCTATTATCTCTTCTTTCACATCTTCCTACAATTTACTCTATAATAACTGAAAGACCTGTGACAAAAAGTAAACTCAGTGAAAATGTTTTTATTTAGAGGTTTTTACAGATTCTTCAAACACTGCATTTTTCTTTGCACTGTGAACATTCTGAAATTATTTTTCCTTTCTTTTATTTTATAAAGAAAAAGAAAACACTCAATTATGTCTTAATTATGTGCTTACTGGTGAACATGAATTCTATTTTCAAATGAGCATATATATATTCCATGTTTTAGAGGAGCATGCAATTGTAAGAAGCAATTTATGTCGCAGCACACTTTGAAAAATGCTTGGCTGGTTCAGCATTTCATAAGATTGGGATCAGTAATCTAAAAAGAGAGAGAGAGAGAGACCATTCTTCATACTTGTCTCCCACTTAAATCATGGGAGGGCCAAAGAATAACCTTTCATCAGCAAAAGGAAATTAGAACTGAATTGTTAGATCAGGGAGCAAATCTATCTAGTCCACCCAGTAGGATCAATAGTAACTAGGAATGGGACGAAACAGAACCAGGGAATTGAAATCTGAAGCCTTTTTCCACTGAGCCGTTTAAATAAACATATAATTTTATTAAGCAACATGCACGCAATGATGAACAGGTATATTATTCCAATTAAGAGGGAGCAAAAAGGGTCGCCATATTTTAGGGGTAGCTGGAGGGGTAATTAAAGCAGTATTAAACAGTTTTCAACTCAAATTAACATTCACCTGGGGTTAAAATATTTATTGACATCTACAAGTTTTAATGTGCGTGTGAATGAAAATACATATATATGTATATATATATATATATATATAAAATTCATTCAGTGTAGGAAAAGTAACTTTCCTTTTTATTCCTATACATTATTTAAACAGACACAGGAAGATTTTTTTTTTCTCTGTCCTTGAGTGAACAATGAATCCCAAACTTGTACAGGCCCAAAGCATGCTTCCACAGCCAACAAATGCAAAATTGCCACATCCTAGATATACAGCTGCCTGACTGTAAGAGAATCATCTCAACATAGGTCCTGTTAACCCAGAATTCCCAGTCTTCTCTGCTGGGGCTCAACGGTTGTTCTCTTACAGCTGAAATCCTTGAATGTAGGAGAAAAAAAAAGTTGTGGATCCAATGCCGAGAGAAAACAAGACCTGGAAGTTTCAAAAGGAGAGATTTCCCAAAAACTCTAGGTCACGGTTGCTTCTTGGTAGCCGTTCAGTTTCAAAAAATCCTGCTTATTATTCTCAAGCATCCAAGTGGCATGGACCTCTTTTTACACACAAATAAATGCGACCAATGTCCAGAAGTAAAAGTGTTGAGATGGATTGACACACACGATGCTGTTTTGCTTCTGCCAGGTTGCACAGATCACCACAAAGTTAAATGGGTTTTTGAGCTTTAGGTAACCCGAGACCTGTAGGGTCTGAAAAGCAAACATATGTATTAAAAGAGTGTTCAAATCTTGTATGGGTAGTCCTCGACTTACAACAGTTCCCTTAGTGACCGTTCAAAGTTATAACAGACTTGCGACCATTTCTCAGAGTTACGCCCTTTGCGGTCTCCCCATGGTTACGTAATTAAAAATCCAGTTGTTTGGCAACTGGTTCATTATTTATAATGGTTGCTGTATCCTGTGATCAGTTTTTGCGACCTTCTGACAGGCAAAGTCAATGGGGAAGCCAGGTTCACTTAACAACCGGGTTAATCAACTTCAGTGATTCACTTAACAACCGTGGCAAGGAAGGTCGTAAAATGGGGCAAAACTCATTTAACAAATGCCTCACTTAACAACAGAAATGTTGGGCTCAATTGTGGTCATAAGTTGAGGATTACCTGTATTACCAAGGCCCTAATTCTCCTAGCCAAGACTTGCTAGCTTGCACAGCATTCCAGGTGAAATGGATCTGTCACCCAAATCCTCACTCCCGTTTATTAAGCACTCTTGTATCCTTTGGAATTCAGAATGCATTGACTGATCTACAATAACTGGCATACAGAAAAAATTTGAATGCCTTCGTGTGTATGTGAAAGCAAACATTAAAGAATTCACTGTAGCTATAAAAGAGCAGAAAATACTCCGAATGGCAAGCTGTGGCTCTTCTCTCTCCAGATTTAAACACCCAACCAAACTAGAATGAACTCGGAGCACCCTGAGGTCAAATCAAGGAAATGTCTGAAAGACAGACTCATAATGTTCTTATTTAATGGAGTCGTGGAGACTCTCCAAACGATTCACAAATTTCCCACACGACTGAATCCATTAACAAGCGAATGGATCCTAAAAATGAGAGCTAGGTACAGCAGCACTAAAAAAGATATTCTAGTATGCTGTGAAAGAAATCGAAAGCTCTTACCAGATTCCTTGGTAAACTGCTTCACACCATCCCCTCCTTGTGTGTTCTGATTGTGTGCGATAACATATGCTGGATACCAGTTACAATCTGGCTATAAGAAGCAAAGAGAAAAAAAATACAATACTATACTGTATAGTAGGTGCAGGTACAGGTAATCTTCATTTAATGACTGGTCACCTAGCAACCCTTCCAAATTACAATTGACCTTCACAGAGCAACTTATGATTTTGAAGTTCTGATGGTTCCAACCCCCTTTGCCTTCCTAATGATTATATCAGCACATTTTTGGCACTTAGCAACTGGCTCATGTTTACAGCTGTTTGGTGTTTACAGCTGTTTGCTACATTCCACAGTCCCGTCACCCCAATTTTCTGTGGTTTTTTTTTTTTTTTGCTGGTTTCTGGTGTTTCCTTTCTGCTGCTTCCAGGAAAAAGCCCCCATTGTTTTAAGTGGGTTCAGTTTATGACTGCAACATTTTCTCAACGACCGCTACAAAAAAAAAATAGCAGTCATATAATCACCACACCGGTGATCATCTGGTGAGCCACTTAATGACAGTCATGACTTACAATTGTACTTCCAGGCTCATTTATGTTTATAAGTGGAGGAGTAGCTGTAATTCATTTCAATTTGAATTGTTTAATCCTCCACAGGTTTTTTGAGCATGAACTGTCTTTATTTTAAGCATGAAAAATATTCACTTCACATGTGAAATTGGCTGTTTTATGGCTTCCTGGAACTCATGAGAAGGACTGAATATCACTCAACAAAAATGGACAAATATGCACGCCAGACAACTGCTTTATGCTTAAAGATGGGACATTTTAAATCAGAAAAGGGGTGCTTCAATCTCATAACAGTTTGAATTGGAACATCCCTGCTGTACATTTTGTAGTAGAAACTTCCTAGCTCTTCATAATGAATGGCAGCAAACAGAAGGAAGCACCAATTGTTGAATAAGAAAGTTTACACTCCTGTGTTTCCTTATACACAAATTTTGGCACAGAACCTGAGAATTCCAATTCTATCCGGGTTTTTGTTTTTTGTTTTAAAAGAAGACTGGCAATTGTATTCTGTTCTTACTGATTCTAGTTCCTTACTCTGATACTGCACATTTTATTAACTCACAGGTGAGACACAATAATTCTGAACTGGAGGATGCTCATTTGCCACCGCTGGTGGTGGGTACCGGATCTTCTGCCAGTCCTCATAAGCATGATAAGCGTGTGGCTGGATTGGAGGAGAGTGCTGAAAGTAGTACATGGGGCAGGCTGGGGTGATTTGTCCTGGCTGTGGCTCAGGATGCAATCTGTCACCTGAATGCTGCAAGAGAGAAAGTAGAAAATTGAAAGTGAAGGACCTTTGTGGAAATCCTAGTTTATAAAGGTTAACGGTGTATCAACTTAATCAAAGCAGGTTGTTTTCGCTTGGCCTATTCCTTTTTTAACTAATCCCCTTTTAAAACCAACTAAAGAAACATTATGTCCCCTGTGCAATATTCAATCCATTCCTAGGATAAGGAAGAAAAAGTACTGGAATAAGCAGTCTATAAATGTGCACACCCTACTGTTGACATGACAGACAGAAAGCTATTGAGAGGTGGGGGGAAGAGTTCTCCATCACTGCTATAGGACGAAGACAAGGGGGTGCGGGGTGGGAAACACAACTTAGACCTGATCTTGGCTGTAATTTAAATTGAACCATCTCACCATATAAAACAAACATCCAATAAATTCTTAAAACAGGACACTCTCCAAACGTGTTGCACTTCAATTCCTAGAATTTTAGCAATGACCAGAGAAACTGGACAATTCTGAAAATCGAGGTCCACATTTCTGGGCAGTGCACAAGTTAGGGAAGCCCAGCCTGATTTCAGATATGATTTTACTACAGTGCAGTATGAAGAACTGATAGATCATGTCAAACAACTACGGCATATATTCAGTATTGGGAAGTCATAATATTAAGCCAGCCAGCATTTGCATTTCCACAGTACAGTATCCCATACCTGTTTGTGCTGTTTAAGCAGTTTCTTAAACTTATCCTTTTCTTCCTTCTCTTTATGGTAGTCCTCTTTAACAATTCGCAGCTATTATGAAAAAGAGGAGGAAAAAAAAGAATATAGATTTCCATGAGCATTGCATTCTAGCGCTGAGAACAAGCAGACCAATAGAAATATTCTGCTCAAGTCTTAGCCAGACTAGATTCTGGATGCCCATTGTGGATCATTAACCCGGTGACAGAGTTATTTTTATTCTATACCTCTTGGAAGATAGGGAGAGTATTTTCATAGCAAGCAAGTGAAGTTGGATGGTAACCAAGAGACAAGACCAGTGTAAGAACACATGAAACTGTACTGGACACTGACAAAAAGAATCATTTTCTCTAATCAGCGACTACAAAGTCTTATGGGTTCAAGTGCTTTACAATGCAAGTATTTAAACATCTTTTAACTCTACTTGCTGACCTGCCTTTTCTAGTTCCATTTAAAACCTAATTTTAAAAAGCTGCCCAAGCATGCCCTTTAGTGATTTTTTTCCAATTTCTTTAAGAATAAAACAAGTGACACAGGAGAACTACATAATCAAACAATAACTTGTGAGATATTTAAGACAGCAGCTATTATTATGTAGGAGAAGGATATTGGATAGGATTTGGGTACACAAGTCTATCCATAAACCTTCAAAGATTGTCGCTAGGATTAGGAGGGGAATGGGGAGCGAGAGAAAATATAAAGCGGGAAGGGGAGAATGCTTGAAGGAACCAAGAAATAGGGGACGAGATCAAAAGCAACTGGTATTTGCTCAGAAGGCTGTGTCTTGGTTCTCTGGAGATTCTGGTAAGCATATCACAATAACAAAAACACAAGTTATTTAGTTTAGATTGCTCAACAGAGTACAGTTTTCCATGAATCAAGGCCAACGGTCTAGTTTTCATCTCTTCCATCCCTTCAAGGGATTCCATGGAAGAGATTAAATTTAGATCACCAAAGCCTCCAAACTCAGAATGATTCTTTTGGTTTTCTACCTGGTTATTAGTCAGGGTCAGCTGCTTCTGAAGTTTTTCTAGCTGCTTCTTCAGCTCCTCTTTTTCTTCGTTCATCCTTTCCCTGTCACTCCGCTCCCGCTGGAAATCCTCCTCAAAAATCTTCACCTGGAAGAAAAAGGACTTAAATCTTAGGATCAGACACTTATGCCCCCAAATTCACATTTTCTACATGTTTCAGCACTGATGCCAAGACAACACAACACACAGAATCCTAAAGTCAAAACCTGTACAATGAATTTTATAAAGCATGGGGTTATCTGACAAAGGAAATTTCTTCCTAAGTTCACACAACACTTTCCATTCTGATTTAATCCATTTTAGCCCATTTTCCCAAGATTTTGTTTAGAAAAGAAAAGAAAAAACCATGTTGTGAACATAAGAGTAACTGCCTATCATTAATTCTAAAAAATATATCTTTAAAGATAAAATGTTTTCAACATGCTTTTCAACTGATACAACACACACAACTTTTCAAAATGGCACTTAAAGCAATTAACAATATTATTTCTGGTACTAATAGTCACTTAATGACATCCAACAGTGAAACTAGTACAAGATTAATACAATAGTCCTTGACTTATAACCACAATTGGAACCAGAATTTCCACAGCTAAGGAGGACAGTTGTTAAATAAGTCGCATTTGATTTTTATGAACTTAAGAGAATCACAAACTTTTAATGCTTACTTGCTGTTTCAGAAGCTCGTTCTGGGTCATCACTTCCTGGTGCCGGAGACCTGGGCTAGGATCAGTGGCTGAGGGAGAACGAGGAGGTGCTTGGAAATTCAGAACCTCTTCTAGCGCCTGAGGGAAGACAAAGGAACCGTAAGAAACCTGTCTTAGCATAACATTTGTTCTTCGCAGCAGTGGCAAGTGATGCTATTAATATGATCCTATTAATATGCTATTCATAGGAAAAGAATGCAAATGGCACTGAGTATTTGGAGTATTTTGAACTCTCAGATTTTTTGAATAGTTTTGAATAGTTGTTATTTGGTTTTTCTCTAAAGGGTTCACTTGCAGGAACCGTATATAAACAAACACTCAGCCCATGCTCACAGCAATTTATCCTATCATATGTTTCAGCGAAAGTGGAGGGGTATGGAGGACTCCTTTGCAATGAACCACATAGCAGGAATAAATGTGGGTGCCAGGTTATACTTCCACAAACAACAAAAAGCCCCCAAAACAGCATTTTAGGGTGGAAGGAGATTCATTTGGGGCAAGAGATATAGAATCATTCTACTGCCTTGGAAAGACCATCATTTGGGGGAAAAGATTCACAGAGTTAAAAAAAAAAAAGCAGAAGAGGAACCAGGTACAAATCCTTTAAATTCTTTAACAAGGTCCACCCACCTTGTTTAATCGGATAATCTCCTTCTCCTGATACTCTCTTTGCCTTGTGATTGGCACCAATTGATCCTGAAGAAACTTCACCTTGTGCTTGAGGTCCTTCACCTCCCCAACTAGTCTCTCTTTTTCTGCCTTGAATAGAGTGGAAGGAAAAGAGAGGAAGATGTATAAAAAGGAGAAACAGCTTTCCATCCCATTCCCATCAGGTGTGGAACAACCTGCCTGAAAGCCACTTCAGAAGGAATGAGAGGGGATTAAGAACAGGGTCAACTTTCAAGAGCTTGTCTGTTTATACCAAAAAGCCCTTTTGATACCCGTCAAATGCAACTGGCTGTCGTCACTGTCATTCTCAAATATCTCCCTCCCATAGAAAACTCCTATATCTGCTAAAAAGAAGCGGGGTGTGTGTTAGGAATATAAGTCACCTAAGAGGTATTTGGGTTAGAAATATATAAACCAGGATAAACATTTTAGTACTAAGTCTTTAAGAGATTGCAAAAACTGCAATTGGGTGTGGTTTTTCAAACAGCCATAAGATGGAGCCAGAAACCTGGTTTGTTTAGTCTTAATCTCAGAAGAGAGTGTGACTCTATCTCTGTTTCCTTCTGTTGGAAAGTATTGCCGTTGTTCCATTTCTTCTAATTGACTGATATTACTGGATTTAATGTAAGTCTATTACTGAGCTGTTTTTGACACTGGACTTTGATATTTGGATTATCCCTGGATTGAAAACTGACTGATTTACTTGTGAATGACTTTGGACTGCTTATTTTGGACTTTGCTTAAACCTTTCTGGAAGTAAAAACCTACATTTACTGTACAGTGTATCTGTGTGCTCTGTGTGTATTATTCCAACACTACTCTCTATACGTCTCCCTGTATGCGCTCATTCTCCTAACGAGGAATTACCTCAACAGGGGGCACTCAGTGTCTCATTTGTGTCCTGAACCACACATAGCAATATGAACACTACTCCCAACAGAGTAAAGCACCTTCCAGAAAAGACAAAGAGGAGAACATTCAGAAATCAAATCCAAAAGTAAAAGAGCTCACTTTTTTTTTTTTTTTGCAGTGTAGAATTTGACCTGCAAAAACCTCTTTAGTCCACCAGAGGGCAGGCCTTTCCAGTTCTTTATGTGTTGCTCCTCCCTTACAAGGCCTAATAAACTGAGGTCTATACAGGTAGTCCTCAACTTTTGACCATGACTGCACCCCCACAACATTTCTGTTGCTAAGTGAGACATTTGTTAAGGGAGTTTTGCTCCATTTTACCACCTTTCTTGCCAAGTAAATCACTATGGTTGTTAAGTTAACACAGCCGTTGTTAAGTGAATCTGGCTTCGCCATTGATTTTGCTTGTCAAAAGGTCGCCAAAATGATCACATGCCCTGGGGGGGGGGGGGAACACACCACAACCCATCATAAATAAACGCCAGTTGCCAAGTGTCCGAATTTGGATGACGTGAACACATGAATGCTGCAATGGGTCATAAGATTTCTCAGGAAACAGCAACTGAATGAAAAACTGCTGGTGACCTTCTACTGATGAACCATAGAGAATATTTTAACTTACTGCACCTGAATATGGTTTGCCAATTGCACAGTGGCAAACTGTGCAATTGGCAAACCAATTGCACAGCTATGCTGGCTGGAGAATTCTGGGAGCTGAAGTCCACAAGTCTTAAAATTTGCCAAGTTTGGAGACCTCTGTCCTAGTAAGTTACTGCAAAGGAACCAGAGGTAGGAATAAAAGAAAAATGTTTTTAATGCTACCTGCCTGTCAACCCATTTAGACTTAAAACTGAAGTAAACGTTACAGTTTTGGGCAGAAATGCAAATGCATTCCAAGTGGGATTTTGGACTATACCTCTTCTTCGTCGATTTTGGATTTTGCCAAGAGAAGTTTGCGGTCAAAATCTCTCTGTTTTTGCTCTCGCTCTGTCTCCAACTCCGCTAGTGCCTTTTGGGAGTCAGCAAACTTCTGTCGTAGATCTGTTATCTGTTGGGATGGAAATTTTTAAAAATGCAAAACACCATCATGCATTTTAAAGCCAATGTAAAGTCTACATGATCCAAAGGAACAAAATCAGTATTTGGGGGTATATACACCAGAAGTATGTACTACAATATATAATTTTAAATTAGTCTCTGATTATATGGCATTGCTGACAATTTTGGCAGAGACCCTATGAAATTTTTTAGGGTTCCAAGTAATAACTCCATAGAAAGAAGAACTCTGAGACAGATAAGTTCCTCACGGTACAATTTTACTTTCCCCAAACAATCAGTAACATTGTCCAATCAAGGTTCTGGCTGGTTGCCTGGATATGGTGCTCCTCCTCCTTCCAGCTACCTGTTGGAATGACCTTGGTTCCCACAGGAAACTATTTTGTTTTGGCTACAAACCCCCATCTAACTATGTTTCCCGCCCCCCCCCATCCCTTCTTCACATTGTGGCAACCCTGAAGCCTCCAAAATGGCCCCAGCCAGGTTCACTGTCAACTAAAAAAATACTCCTTTGGTCTTTTTAGCTGTCAGAAAAAGGGAATGGGGGAAAACAAGGCATTCTTGAAATGCCTAGATAATCACCCCAGTAGCCCAAAGTTGTCGGAGCATAAGAAGGCTATTGGAGAGCATGATGGATGACTCTTGGAGATAGATGTGTCCCATTGGAGAAGTCACATCCAGGGGGTGAGAGGAAGACCAGCGTCAAGGGGGAAATGTATGATGTAATTTAATATCAGCTGCACCCAGCTTACGCCAACATGGCAACCTCTAATAAATCAATTTTCTTTTCTCTGAGATGCGGCTAGAGACTTTTGATTTAAATGAGGGTGGGTTTGTTGGAGCCCTGACATTTACTTCAGAGTTACAATACAAGTAATCCTTGACTTAAGGCCACAATTGAGCCCCAAATTTCTGTTGTTAAGCGAGACATTTGTTAAATGAGTTTTGCCATAGTTGTTAAGTGAATCACTACAGTTGTCAAGTTAGTAAAATGTTAAGTGAATCTGGCTTCCCCATTGACTTTACTTGCCAAAAGGTTGCAAAAGGTGATCATATGACCTTGGGACACAGCAACTGTCATAAGTAAGAACCAGTTGCCAAGCATCTGAATTTTGATCACATATCATGGGGATGCTACAAAGGTCATAACTGTGAAAGATGGTCATAAGTCACTATTTTCAGTGCCATTGTAACTTGGAACTGTCACCAAATAAACTGTTGTAAGTTGAGGACTATCTGCAATACCTTGTCTACATTATTGTTTATTATAAAAATAAAGATACTAAATTTTTAAAAACCACAAAACTGGTATTATTGGATTGATATTTTCTAAGTCTGCAGTTAGCAGCTGTGATAAGTGTAATTTTCTTTTTTCTTTTCTTCAAATCCCCAGAAGTGTTTAAATCTTTCCAGGCCAATAAAAGATAATTATCTTAAAGGAAATTTCTAACAGATAGTGCTGTTGAGACCTTATGGCTCAGCTAGCATTCCTGTATTCCTTCATTTGGATAAGAACTAGGCCACGCTCATCTTGTGTTGTTCTGTCAAAAACATCTCAGATAGAGCAGTCCTGGATCTTTCTCATTACCTTCTGCTCATACTGATGCTTCATGTTCCGGAAATGGTGATCCCACTGTTTATTCACCTCCAATAGCTAGAGAAAAAAAAAATGCATCAAGTTATTTTGGACACATCCCCTTACAGCCTTCCTCCTCTGATGCAAGCAGTCCCAAGGCTGAAACGTAACTTTCTTTTGTTTTCTAAATCAATATTCTGCATGGGATCATTCAGGTATCTCCCCCGTTGCTAAACCTGGTAATTATCATACTTAAGCAGAGGTGGTATTCAGCAGGTTCTGACCAGTTTTGGAGAACCGGTAGCGGAAATTTTGAGTAGTTCAGAGAACCGGCAAATACCACTTCTGACTGGCCCCATCCCCATCCCCGTCTATTCTCTGCCTACCGAGTCCCAGCTGATCAGCTGGGTCTTCTTCTGTTGCCCTGCACAGGAGAACAGGGCTGAAAAGCAGGTTAGTGGGGTGGGGAGGGAATGGGGATTTTATAGTATCCTTCCCCTGCCATGCCCAATAAGCCATCCCCACCAAGCCACACCATGCCTACCAAGCCATGCCCACAGCACCGGTAGTAAACATTTTCGAATCCCACCACTGCACTTAAGTCTATTCCAAGGCTTCCCTGGACAGGAAGAGGAATATAAGCATAGGGCAGACTTTAAAGGACATGTTTAGGAAGCGCTCTGGTGATGGTTAGATTAGGAATATAATAAATAAAACAAATAAGAACAGCAGGTAACATGACAGGTTGGGAATCTGGAGAATCATTCAGAATAGTTCTGGAATAGAAGGTAAATAACCTCTATGTTTATCTACTAGCAGCCATCACCTGATATAAACTTTTTATAATTCTAAGGGGAAAAAAATCCCTTGTATTTGACTTGCCTCATTGCGCTGATGTTCGAGTATCTTCACTTTCTTCTCACTTGCTCCCAACATGCTCTTCCCTGCTACTTGCTCCTCTGTGGCTCCCTTCTAAAAGGCAGATACATATCAGACCTTGAGAAATCATTCAAAGCAGCCAGCTCAATATTCAGAAGTTGACCTCTTTCTTTCAAAATCTACAGTCTAAGGCAGGGGTCTCCAACCTTGGCAACTTTAAGGCTTTGTGGACTTCAACTCCCAGAATTACTCAGCCAGCTTGCTGGCTGAGCAATTCTGGGAGTTGAAGTCCACAAGCCTTAAAGTTGCCAAGGCTGGAAACCCCTGATCTAACATACTGCACATCTCAGTTCCACCTTTTCCCCAATATCCTGCATATTGCAGAATGGAGATGATTAAAAATACCAGAGATCTTTTAAGAGAAGTTGCCATTTGACAGGTTCCCTCATAAATTTCCTTAAATCATCTGTTTCTGAAAGCAAGAATTACTGAGCGTAAAAGATTCCTCTTTGGATATTCATTCCACGGAATGATGGAATGAGACTGGTAGCATGGTCTTAGCCTTTTTATAATTTAAGATATTATTCTTTTATTTTTATTTTGTTATCTGTTATTTATTGTAAACCATTGGAAGTTGATCCTGAATCTGAATCCTGAGCCTAAATACAGGTTATGCATTTTTTTCCTGAAAATTCAAGATGTTATATTCCAAATAAGTTCTATATTTAAATCACACACCTTTGCACCATTATGTCAGAAGATGAAAAAAAAAAAAAAAAGGTCATTCGATGTTTAAGCTAAGATCCACAAGCCTTCAGTTTTAAATACATGTTACTTTGGAACTTTTTTTAATCTATCCCTTTTACTGTAAAGCAGACTTTCAGATATAGCTAGGCTCACATTACTGAGAGATAACTTCCAAGCAGTTTGAGGCTAAATGTTATCAGCATATGTCACAGGATAGTGGTTCAATGTAGCCTAAAATATTCTTACCTGTTGCTGCTCAGCGCATTCTATATTTTCTGCTTTTACACTTTCCTTACTTCCCATCATCACCATCTTTCTGAGTTCCAGATTCTCACACCTACATTAGAAAGACATCATCACCATCATCATCATCATACACAGTATTACATTTTAAGGAAGGCATTTTAAGCATGTAAAGGCAGCTGTCACAGTAGCTGTCATTCAGAATAAGATTTACTTTAAAGCTCATGGACCAAAAATATGTATCGTTAACTGAATTAGATTACTTCAACCGAGGATAATGATAATATACCGAGTGCCCACTAATATTCACAGGCAACCTGCCTCCAAATACCATTCAAAATAAAAGTAGGAGTAGGAGAGGAAGGACTAGGGGAAACATGATAGCAGTGTCCCGGTATCTCAGGGGCTGCCACAAAGAAGAGGGAGTCAAGCTATTCTCCAGAGCACCCGAGGGCAGGACAAGAAGCAATGGGTGGAAACTAATCAAGGAGAGAAGCCACTTAGAATAAGAAGAAATTTCCTGACAGCTAGAACAATTAATCAGTGGAACAATTTGCCTCCAGAAGTTGTGAATGCTCCAACACTGGAAGTTTTTAAGAAGAGATTGGATAACTATTTGTCTGAAGTGGTGTAGGGTTTCCTGCCTAGGCAGGAGGTTGGACTAGAAGACCTCCAAAGTCCCTTCCAACTCTGTTATTCTATTCTATTCTATCCTATCCTATCCTATCCTATCCTATCCTATCCTATCCTATCCTATCCTATCCTATCCTATATTCTTCACTTCCTGCTGATGGATTTGACATGAATATTTAGAGTCGTAGTTCCCAATCTTTTGGGCACCAGGGACCGGTTCCGTGGAAAGAGTTTTTTTCTGCGGACTGGAGGTGGCGTGGTTTTGTATGCTGTCTGCGTCCCACAGATGGGGCTTCACTTGTTTGCGTGGCCCGGTTTCCAGCATGCTGCAGCCCAGTGCCAGTCCACAGACCAAGGGTGTCCCTTGATTTAGAGGACACAGAATGCTGGAGGAGATAATCCTTTAGTCTGATCTAGCCCTACTTTCTTACATCACTATGATGATATATATTTGTTTTTTTCCCATATAAGAACTGTGGTGGTGCAGTAGTTAGAATACAGTATTGCAGGCTATTTTTGCTGACTGCCACTGACTACAATGTGGCAGTTCGAATCTCACCAGGCTCAAGGTTGACTCAGCCTTCCATCCTTCCGAGATCAGTAAAATGAGGACCCAGATTGTTAGGGTCAATATGCTGACTCTATAAACCATTTAGAGAGGGCTGTAAGAACACTGTGAAGCGATATAGAAGTCTGAGTGCTATTGCTTGCTATAGAACATCTCAAAATAGCACCATCCAATTTGTTAGATTTCTATTCTGCATTTCCAAACAGATCCTCAAAGTATCTACAAGGAATTCCCATGATTCAGTATAACATCAATGGGGAAAAATGCTATAATTATGTTACAGAAATTATTTTTAAATTCCTTGTCTCAATATGACTTAAAGCACAATTCTTATCACATTAGTCTATAACAGTTCTATTACTGCCTAAAGAATAAAACAAAGCTCTTTCGATTTTTATTATTAAAAAATCCCAGAAATGTTATGTATATGCCATTTTAAGCTACTGCTGGAAAGGCAGGATATAAATCTAAGAACATATATTTAAATCACACACACCATATTGTGAATTTAAGGTTACATTTACTCTAAGAATGTTGGTTTGAAACAGAGTCTGATTTTGATTTACAAATTGAGCTAGAGCAATTTTTTTTATTCTTGTCCAAGCAGTTAATGGACTGCATTATAACACGAACAGAATGTACAGCAGTGCAAAATTCAGGTAATCCCAGGTTACAAGCATTTCCTTAGCAAATGTTCGAAGTTACATGATAGTTAAACATAAACAAATCCAAAAATTATGAATGTTGCAGCACCACAGCAGTTGTTCGCCCTTATGAACAACTGCTGAGGCTCTGCGACATTTGTCCTGCCTATTCCTTTCCGCTCCGCACTTTGCTGGCCAAAACAGAGTCTTGGATGGTCCGTTTTGGCCAGCAAACTGCCAGGCGAGGCCTGCACATACCAAAAGGGAACTGTGGTGCGGCACACGCAGCTGAGAGGCTGGAGAAGAGACAGCTTGCTAGATCTTTGCACAGTAAGTGACCCATAGCACAGCAGGCTGGGGGTGGTAAGCAATTGTGGGGAGCATGAGGTATTTCAGTGGGCCAAGGAGGCCTGGGGTGGTCTGAAGCAAGTGGCCTGTTCCATCACTAGGCCCCCCACCATGGCCTTCCCCACTCAGATAATACCTTTTGTGCACTTAACAAACCACACATTCGATTAGCGAATGTGTGGGCAAAAGGAGGGAGTGATCACATTCAAGATACGGGATTCACTTCCACAAATCCTCACGTTACAAATAGAATGGGCAGGCTCCATTTCATTTGTAACTCAAGGACTACCTGTAGTACTTTTATTCCCTACTTGAGAGCTAACTAACAATCCTAGAAGATAGGTTGCTCAGGGAGTGTAGTATTCATATCGGAACTGGATACCAAGGGCACCATCTCATGGAGAGTTAAACACATAGCTTTTTAAAAAGCAAATCTGATTATTAGCCCACATTTCCAGCTAAAAATAAGGTTTGGACTGGAATAATCATGGAGTTGAAGGTAGGGTATTGAAAAAAGCTTCACTTTTACCAGCTGAAGCCAGCAGGATACAAATGATGTCTGTGTGACTAAAACCAAATTACACAACGTCTCCATATGATTTCCATCAAAAGTAAGAAAGATTCGTGATGCTCTGGATCAAGCTCTTGTAGCAATTCTCAAGTACAGTCAACTGTGAAAATAAACCTTGTGCCTCTGTTTCTAGTTAGAATTTTTGAAAGAAATGCAAATCAAATATGCATTTTTCCCCCTGAAAGATCTCACAGATCATGATAAATCTTATGAAAGGAAGGCCATTTCTTTTTGGTCAGGGAGAACATGTGAATCCCTACCTCGCTTTCATTGAGAAGGAAGAGAAATATTTCTCCATGAGCTATTTTGATCTTTCACGAAACATTCTGGGCTAAAAAAGATTTTCTAAAACATGTGAGATGCCCTGATCCCAAACAGGCCACTACTAGTGCTAGGCTCTTTTTGTTTGGGGTTTGTTGGCATAGTTTTACGCTACCCTGCACAAGCTGAGCAAACTAGCATTCAAGTGGGAAGATCCTCACAATTGTCTTCTAAACTTTACCTGAGTTCTGGCCTTTCCTTCATTAAGTAAGTAAATGGTTTCCGATCAATGTTTAGACTCATTCTGCACCATGCGATATATATTCCATATATATATGGAAATTCCCTTAGAATTCTCTGGGGCTTCCCACCATTGTAACTTTTTCTATAAAGTACTGGCCACATTGCTGCTCCTTCCTCTTCGGGTAGATTAAAGTAGATTAATGAATAAACTTGATACTGGAATCAATATGTGTAGTAACACTAACATAGCTACTCCAGGATAGGGGACTTTTTCTTGTTTCGCAGTTGCATGTTTGCTCACCAACGTACTCCTTTCCCACTTCATGTTCACTCACCTTAGTTTCTCTGATATCTCATTCCTTTGCTCTAGTTCCCTTTCCAACTTTGTCCTCAGCTCCTCGTTTTCACTCCGCAACTGTTCACACAATGTCTGTTTGAAGGGAAAAGGGAAATTGAGAGAGAGATATAGGAAAGAAAGAAAGAGGGAGGGAGGGAGGGAGGGAAGGAAGGAAGGAAGGAAGGAAGGAAGGAAGGAAGGAAGGAAGGAAGGAAGGAAGGAAGGAAGGAAGGAAGGAAGGAAGGAACTATGCATTGTACCATATTTGTCAAGATCCATTTGAATGTTTGCTTTAGGACAATAGAATGCCACCAGACATGACAATGTGATTTCGAGCAGTCACAGAGCTTGCAACGAAGTCCCTACCCAGCATGAACTCATGGTAGGGGAATAGGCAAATGGAAGCTTAATATAGGAGCAATAAAACTAGGCCAACCTTCCCCAAAGGATGAATGGGAGATAGCAGTATTGAGGATGTCACAGAAATAAAAGAATGAGGAAAAAAAGGTAAAAGTCATAAAAGGCATGATGAAACCAGCTGGCCAGGGATGAGATCGTATGGTTGGGTGCATAGGGAATATTTTTACGAGAGATGGCCTGTACCTTGCCTGTTATGGCCATTCGGTGGGATTGGGAGGGGAAAGAAAAAAGACAAAAAACGAAGATGAGAACTCAGGAATACAGAGAAGCAAATGAATTGTGCACATCTACCAGCAGCCCTCGGACCTGAAGAACAGACGTCCTCTGCTCATTCTTGTGTACTTTGGAGGCCAGGCGGTTAAACTCAAGAGCCATGTGCCCCAGATGGGCGAAAAGCTGGGTTTTGTCAGACTCCTCAGCAAAAAGACTGAGTGTGTTCTCGAAGCGCTGAAGGTGGAGCATAAGGTTGGTGTCCTCATTCAGAAGTGGCTCTAAGTCCTGCAGAAAATGATCCAAAGGAGAAAATTATATCGGGAAAAGCATTTGGTCATTTTTGACTTCAACTTAGACCTGGAAAATTCCTCAAATAGGATTACCTAGTGTTGTTTTATTCTGCCCTTTTAAAAAGCCATTTTTTAATTTGTTTGCGATGGGAGGGGCAACTGAAAAGGATTACAGGGTGATGGAAGAACAGATCTTCTGCCTCTTCTAAAGTTTGTATGAGGAATCTTCTCATACACTCACAGAGAGAGAGAGAGAGATGCTTTTTGTCCCTTAAAGCCCTTTTCGCTTAAGTGGAGAGTAGAAAACTGTCCCGTTTAGGGATTGCTCTGGTGAAAACCCAGTGTTTTATGAAGAAATTCAATTTTCTATACTAGGCATAAATCTATCAAATCTGTTGTAGCCCCTTTCCAAACAGTCTCTTTCCCCACAAAGTAGGAAGCCCATCGCACCCTCCTGATTCCTCCTTTCTCCGTATCTTCAACTTATACAATAATTGAATTTAAGAGATTGGGGCGGGGGTTCCTCAAAAGAAGAGGGATCTTTCTCTTAAGACTTGATTACAAATCCAAGGCTAGTATTTATTTCCCTTTTCAATGAAGACATGTATCTGGATTGGTATTGTGATTCAGTGGGATAGTACTTATCTTTGACAGTAATATTCTGGGTTTCCAAAATGACTCATTACAGAATTTTTACCTCTTTTACTCCTTTATGATTTCCCTGTTCCTGCTTTCGCAGACAGTTTGCCATGCATACAAATTAGTATGGTATTTACTTTCCTTATACCATTTTTTAAAACTCAAGAAGCTGTCAGACATATTGCCACTGAACGTTGCAGGCTTCTCTCTTTCCATAAATAAAATTCAGTTTACAGATTCCCAATCAACCAATCTTGGTGAAGTTTCTACGCTCACTATAGGTGCCAAAACCTCTCAGTTCAGGACTGAGTAGAGGTTGAATTGGACATCTAAGGATTATTGTTGCTTGGAATTCCCACTGTTGTGCAAGGTGTCTTTAGGACATATTTTGGTCGTCATTTGTAACTGAGGTATCCAGAGGTTGGTTTCAAAACTGGTTTGCAAGACCAATGCTCAAAATTGTTTTTCCCCTCCTTATTGAGCAACTATAATCCATCCCCCATTTAGGATGATGGAAAATGGTTTTTTATGGGCAGACCGTTTTGTGATGTGAATCACAGAATACTTATTCTAGAAATTAAACATGCTATGTACTCCTAGAAAGCTTAATTCTGACTGCACACTGCTGGAATGCTACTCTTTGCCTCAGCAAATTTCATAAAGAGCCACAGGGAGACTAACAATAAAACAGCCTACAATGACCTCTCCTCTGAATTACATTTCCAGATAAGATTCCCTGCAATCTCAGACCTGATCAAAGGAATTCAGCAGGCTCACAGAAAGCTAGAAGTGGGAGAAGAGACAATTGTTTAGCCCTTACTTGTAACTCCCTATTCCTCAGCCCCCAAGTTCCCATGCTGAAGAGGGAGAGGAAAGGCACAATTCTAATTGCATTTGAATGGAACCAAAAGCCGCTGCATAACCAAAGTGGGAGAGCAATCCCGTTCTAACAAATGTCCACCTCTATTTGAGGAGATATAGATGCCTCCTTCAGACTTTCCCCATCCAAATGAAGGATATGGAAGATTTGGAGCAAGATTTTCAGTAGAGGCTACCATTTTCCAACAGAGGTAAAAGCATGAAGCAAAACATACAAAACCATTTTTTTTAAAAAAAAAAATCCTTAATGTCCCAGATCCTAGAGAAGATCTGGATCTTTCCAGCCTTCCTGGAAATCTGAAGGGATTGGGGCTGCCATGTGGGAGGGGGGGCTCTTCCATTAAATCAGGTAGCATGAGAGAGAAGGTTCACTTGCCCCCAAGTGACACTGCTTCGCCGATGGGACTGGAGCATGCCCATCCTGCTGAAATGGGCAAAAATCATTAGGGATTTAAAAGCAGTCACCACGGCTTTGAAATACATCCACAATCCTACTTCATTACTACTTTCATGATCCTTACACATCTGGGCCATCGTTGCTTCTCTCCCATATTAAAGGTGCCTTTTTCCTACCTTCAGCTTTCCAGTTCCAGAATCTCATTTTGCAGTTGCATTAGCAATTTTCATTTCAATGACTGCAAGCAGTCTGTTCCTCAGACATATTTGACAGACAGACCCTCCTAAATGTACCTCCTTCATCTCAAGAAGCCTGCCAAGCTTTTGCTATTGAAACTACAGTTCACTCTTCAGAGTTTTGAGCGCCTAGGACTGACCCCTTTGTTCAGCAGCAAGCACAGCCAACTTGTATTGCCGCCTCACAAGCAGCCCATGCGAAAGGAATCTTTGAAAGTGAAAAGCAGGGAAATGCAAACTTTTGTTCAGCACCTATAGCTGACTCACGATCTCCTCCCCTCCAGAGGCTGCCCCAATGAACTTGGTTCAGGGAGGGAAAAAAAATCCAGTCTTGCAAGAGACTTTGCCCATTTGTCTGGCAGATGATTCATGAGGAAAAGACCTCAAGAAGGAACCATAATCTATCTTCAGACTAAGGTCTTTATTGCCTTGTAAGTCACAATATAAGGGACTTTGAAGGAACATAACTATACTCAAGGCAGATTCTCATTAGATTTTTATCTACTTCTCTCCAGGCAGTTTTCCCCAAACTCATGCCCTGAAGATGTGGCAGACTAACACTTCTGTAATCTGCCAATATAGCAAACAACCAACCATTATATATAAAAAACAAACAATTTAATTTATGGGTGGGATTTTCAGGGTGCGGCGAGGGAAATTACAGGTGTAACTGTATATTTGTAAATGTAGGCCCCATGGATCTTTTCCCCCCAGATATCATAGCTACATTATACAACAATGAAAAGAGTATTTAGACACTCTGTTGCTATGGAAATAGAGGTCTTTACCATTTTTATGTCATTGCCAAGCACTTGATAAGTATTTTATTACAGATGCTTTTTATGGTTTTAGCCTGTGAGATTCCAAAAATACCATGCTAAAATCCAAGGTCTTTCTCTGCTTTACGTTTAATTGTGGATATAAACATGCTCTAGCAATTTCATTTTCTAAAAGGAGACCTTTGGGATCTTTAGCTCATCCCCAGTACATGAGTGGAAGAGGATCGAATCCTTTTTAGCTCTACTGATATTAAAGTAAGCTTTCCCCATTATCCCAACGTTGCCAATGACATCCTCCAGCTAAAACAAGCTATCAACATTGTCATCTAGTAACATCAAAAAGAGTGGCTAGAGAAGGGAGGTGTAAGTCAGCAACATATATGCCAGTATTATTTGTGCTGATTTAAAGTTCAACTCTAGATGCCTCAGACTGATATGTTGTTATACAGGAATTGGGTACATCTAGTCTAGTGAAAAGAAGGACTACGGGTGATATTATAGCAGTGTTCCATTATTTGAGGGGCTACCACAAAGAAGAGAGGGTGAACCTATTTTTCCAAAGCACCAGAAGGCAAGACAAGAAGCAATGGATGAAAACTAATCAAAGATGGAAGCAACCTAGAACTAAGGAGAAATTTCCTAGCAGTGAGAACAATTAACCAGTGGAATGGCTTGCCTTCAGAAGTGGTGGGTGCTCCATCACTGGAGGCTTTTAAGAAGAGATTGGACAGCCATTTGTCTGGAATAGTATAGGGGTTTTTAGCTTGGGCGGGGGTATGTGTGTGGACTAGAACAGCAGTTGCCAACCGGTGGGCTGCGGTCATATCTGGAGTTGTGCAGTCATTATCAAATGTCCAGCTAAGGGCCAGTTTGCTTAAGAAGTATCTGAGAAAAGTTCCTTTGTCCATTTCTACCCCAGCCAACAAAGAAAACTTCAGCAAGTTTGGAAATGCAATCTCCTGATTATATCTGACAGGCCTACAATAGCTCTTTACCCCACTTAGTAACACCAAAGTTGATTTCTTGCCAGTTCCACACCACTCCAGATTTTGAAAAAGTGGCTACGTTTTATTTTTATATTAATATAGTTACTTCTTTAAGCCTTCTGCTTGACTAGCCTCGCCCATGCTGGCCCAGTAGCAATGCATGAAGAGGCTTGCTCTGTGTCAGCTTATTAAAAAAAAAAAAAAAAACAGGCCAGGAGTTCCCCCTTCCTCTGCTTAAGAGCCCTGAAAAATTCACAAGCAATACCAAGTAAATGGGACTCACCGCTGAGAGCAAAACATGAGACCTCTAGCAGATAAAGAACTAGTAACTATTAAGAAAGAGTTACGATCAATTATACCCAAGGAATCCTCTCATATTTTAGAATGTAAACATCAGACGGTTTGTTAGGATTTGGGGGGTGCGGTGTTTGCTTGTATCCTAATGGCTCCTTGAAGGAAGAAAAATTGTTCTGTTTACATACAGGACTGAGAACCATCAGAGGGCTCTGCTGGGTGGCTTTCTCCTCCAAAAATCCACAGCCCAATTGTTTCAGAGGAGCCCTGTGCCTTCCCAAGCACAGGAGGAGATTATAATCATGCTGAGGATTATGAGCATGATATGCCATCATATGTTGCTTTGGAAGAAACACGTGGGACATTTCCAAATTATTATTTAAGACACTAATCTTCTATCCCAGCCTAAAAATATTACTGGTAGAAAATTGGCTATCCAAAGCGATGGCCCTGACTTTCATTCACTGCAACAACCATTAAAACCACACAGATTGCTTTTGTCTTCTAGCTTTATCATATCCTATTTCAGCACATTGCTATTTTGCCATTTACAAATCAGGGCACTGTGGTATGGATGGTGCCATGCTTCAGATCTCAAGTTGAAAAGTTGTAAGTGTTGGTAAGCAATTTAAGGCCTGTCAAATTTTTTCCACTTTCAATTTCCAAACATTAGGGGTGCTCCAAAGTGGTGACATAACTTGGGGATTGTAAAGGTATTTTGGTTACTTTAATATAATTTAGATGTGTTTGGTAAATAACTACATAAATATCATAACTTTTTAACATTTTGTTTTATGCTGTACCTCTCAAGAAGCTATAAGTTTTCCTGGCCTTGCAAAACAGCAGGGCAATTCCTGGAAAAATATTTAATTGAATTAAGGAGGCACTCATATTTGCTATAAACTTGCATCAATTGCATGACGTTTATTTTCTCAATTTCTCTGTCTGATTGAAGATGATGGACAGAGCTAAGGGAGATTTATGTCTAAGCTAAAATCCAGCTTTCCAAAAACAAATTATGAACCACATATTTCTGCCAGCAATGAAATGCTTGGACAAATCATGGTACCAGAAAACTTGTTGAATAAGGGGGAAGCCATTAGATGGAATCAACTGAGCTATCTTAGAAAAAGGGGCAGCTTTCACCAAAATAGCATCCACATTCTACTGCCTGGACAATTCCCTGCAGTTTTCTGGGGAAGATTTTTATAAATAATTTGCCATTGCCTTCTTCCTAAGTCTGAGAAAAAGGTCCCAATCAAGTCACACCCCCACTAGCAGTTAAAAGGAAGAAGCAGCTGCAATCTCACATCACTCTGAGAAGCACAGAGCTGAAGAAAGAAGCCTGAAGATGATGAATGAGACTTCATCGAAACGTTGCCTAGATACTTTGAATCTTACGCGGGAGAAAACCCGAACAACCAAAGATCTCTCTCTCTCTCTCTCTCTCTCTCTCTCTCTCTCTCTCTCTCTCTATATATATATATATATATATATATATATATATATATATATATTACTTCCTGCAACAAGCAGCAAAAATATTTAGATATTTATACTCTTTCACACAAATCCAGTTATATACTCTCCAAGACCCAATATAATAAAAAAACTATGTTTTCTGGGGTTGTCCAAAGAGTGTAAAAGTAGGAAGAAATAGATAGCAATCCCTAATAGTTACAGAATTCAGAAGTCCCCATTTTTTGTTCTCAACAAAGAGAAACCACCGGTGGAAATGGAGGGGAAGATACAACTTTCCTGAGAGTTCTCATCAATCAACTCTTTCAAGCAAACTAATTTTGTCCCTGACCCCGGGTACTTCTGTTTTTCAGGAAACAGAGCTCTAGGAAACCAATTGACAGTAGCCATAAAACCGGAGACGGGGGCAGAGTCTGTACTTCTTCCTTTCAAAACATGAGACTAGGCCAGGGGTCCCCAAACTTGGCAACTTTAAGACTTGTGGACTTCAACTCCCAGCTACAGAAAAGTTGCTGTCTTTGCAGGTGGCGAGAAGGGGAGATTCAATGCACTCTGTGATGAGCCTTGGTCAGAAGAGTTGACCGGCCAGAGTCTCAGCTCTACAGGTCTTGAGTGCTTGGCTTGCAAAAAGCCATTTCCTCCCATAAGTGCAAAGCTGATGCTTCAGGCATAAGGCAGTTCATTAGACCAAATACAAATCTGACTTGAAATCAGCCCAAAGGAAAACCCACTCTTAGAAATAGATGTGTGCAAAAAAAAAAAAAGGGGGGGGGGCGGACACGACCATATGGAAATTAGGATGAGAAAATGCATATAGATTGCAGGTATCTAATTCTTATTTTAACATAGAGCGGGAGGGGAAACTTCTTAAGGACAAGATTTGTATAGCAGTGGAATAGTCTACTATGGAAGCTGTGGGTTCTCATCTCTGGAGGTTTTTAAGAAGAGCTAGACCAGTCACTTTTCAAGACTGGATTAACTGGCTTCCTTGTGGACTGCAGAGGGATGAACTGGAGCTGGGGTGTCAAACTCGCTTTCATTGAGGGCCACTTGAAGGTTTTGTTTGACATCGGGGGGCAGGAGGGGTACGGCTTCCTTGAGTTCCATTTTTGCTGGCAGAGGGTCACAGGAGGCCATCACAGCCAAAAACAGAGCCCGGGCAGGCAGCGCATGCCCCCCCGAGCTCTGTTTTTCCTGACAGAGGGCTGCAGGAGGCTGTTGCAGCTGAAAACAGCTCCTTTTTCACTGGCAGAGGCACCACGGGCCGGTCCTTCACTGTTTCCAGGGCAGCCCTGTGGGCCATATCTAAGCACACCGTGGGCCGGTTCTGGCCCCCGGGCCTTGAGTTTGACACCCCTGAACTGGAGGGTCTTTGAGACCAATTCCAACCCCGCAGATCTATCACTCTGTGTGCAATTCACATTGAGAAAGGAAGTAAGTAAATATGCCAGGATTTTTCACAGTCAGGGAAAGTGGTTGCTGATATTTCTGCCATGGCAGCAGAAGCAAAAACAACCGTGAACTTGTGAACCGATTCCATTGGTCTGGAATTGATACAGAAACTGTATTATCTGAGCTCACTGGTCCGGTTGGGCTGCAACTTGAGTTCTGATACTGGAGCAAGGAACTGGTTAATTGATTTGTGTTTATGGAGTTACAACAGGATCTGCAGGCATTGTTCAGTTTTGAGTGTTGAAGCAGAAGCTTTCCTCCCATAGTGTTGGGAAGAGAAGGAGGCACATCATGCTGTCAGACTTCATCCCAGGTATGACAGAGACTCTCAACTCTCCAGAGACTCAGCTCCTCAGTCAGGAAAACAAGCATTATAGATATAGTGGAAGCTTATGGAGAATGCAGAAATAAAGCCCTATACTGATGGCTCCAGAGTTTAAATTCTTGGTCTGGTCTTCCTGCACTTTCAAGTCAATAATTTTTTGGCAGTTTTTCCAGCGCATAATGAGCATGATCTGCTTATTGTTGACATAAGCTGATTCAAGCAACACTGGTTCTTGCACCACCTTTTTTCAAGAGAAGCTTTATGCTCTATGCCTGTGATATTGCCTGCCATTCTGCTAGCTGATTGCCTAAGCTTGTAACTATATATTGGTACCGAAGACAAGGAAATAGCTGACCTGCTAGCAGCTTTGCATATTTAAGTAAGAAAGGAGAGAAAAAACCCTCTTGACGATATCACCTTTAGATTATTTTTCTTACACTATGTTCTAAACAGTTTCTGTACATCTGTTCTGGGAAAGGGCCAAGTGAAGAAATGCTTTGGCACACAACAATAGCAATAGCACTTATGACTTATATAGCAATTCATAATGTTTTACAACACCCACTGGGTGGTTTACAGAGCCAGAATGTTGCCTCCCACCAATCTGGGTCCTCATTTTATTGACTTTGGAAGGATGGAAGGCTGAGTCAATCTAGACCCAGTCAGGAGTGAACTCCAAACTGTGGGCCAAGTTTGTCTGCAATACTGCATTTCAACCACTGATTCACCAGGGCTCTTTATGCATGATTTGTATAGATGTGGGCTTTTGGGGGGCAAGAAAATATCAATTGCAGTTATGAGCAGCTGATGGTTCTAGACAGAAAAAGCCAGCTCCTTGGAGACAGAGCATACAGGCAATCACACAAACTAAAGCAGCAATGAGTAGAGCAACCGAGCACAGAATGTATAAATGGACTATATCTCCCACTTCTACAATTTGTAAGATCACTCTCCTTCTCCCTTAAACAGAAGAATCTCCTTCCTTGTTATCACCCTTTGTCCACCATGAAGAGAAAAAAAAGAATGGGAATATAGATATCTTTTCCTCCAATGATCAAAAAGCACCTGGGCAGTATTTTGAATCTTAACAGGTTACAGAGGAACACTTTCTCTTTTTCACACACATACACTTATGCACATATGCACCTATTGTCTCTAGACAGGATGCCTGACACTGTTAAATGTTAAGACTATTAAGCTCATTAAGAATGAGCACAACCTTTTTCTACAAGATGCTACATGGTGCAATACACTTAAGTATTAGGTTATAATTTTTTTTAAAAAAGTAATCAATCAGTCAAGTCCAGGTAGATGTCAAAGTTAGCCTGTTTTCTGTTAATTGCTCCATAAAAACCTGTCCCTATTTTCATTTCTAACATTGCACAAGGAAGTTCTGAGAAATGTTTCACTACTTACAGATTTCCTACTGCTCTCTTGGGAGGACCTCTTATCTTCATTGTCAACAATTTCAAATTCTGATGAAGATCCCTTAAAAGAGAGAGGGTGGGGGGAAGAAAACACATTTAAATGCTTCATTTTGCTTTTCATTATGCTAACCTATGGTTAGATAGCCTTCAAACAGACAACAAAAACAGCAATCTACAACAAAATATTGTAGTATACCTTTACCTGTTAACCAGAGAGTTTCTCTTAAAGGGGTCCAGTCAGGTAGTCACACACTGTACCAGGATATAGGAAAGGCTTAGCTACCCGATCTCCCCACCCTGTGCTTTTTCAAATAACTATCAACAACTCTGGAAGACTGAGATTTTGGGGTAGGTAGTTTTATATATATATTTCTGTAAGCCTCATGACTTTGCTAAAGGTCCTTTAGCACTGCTCTGGCCACTTAGAGTCAATTTCAAATCAGAATAACAGAAGTTGTGTGGCATCTAATTCAAAGCGAAATAAATAAATTGCCCCAATCCTGCTAGCTATGGACACTGAAGTTACTATTAACTGCTATATCTTCACTGCATTCTAACAGACCAACTCACTGCATCCCCAAATAAATTGGGGCATCAACTACTACTGATATGTACACCTAACCATTTAGTTCATTTGTGGTTATAGCTATAAAAATATCAAGACTGATTTCTTACACTGGGAGATGGCTTCTGCGCTGCTTTTTCTAGGCTCTTCTCACCCTCAACTGGAAGATTGGAGGACGGGCAAAGTTCTGGAATCCCACCTATAAAAAGAGTGAATTAGTGAGCGTCAGAGTCCTGATTCTGTGGGCAGAAATAAGCACAAATGAGAAGAAAAATAAAGAGGGCGGTGGGTGGGAGAAGAAGGAGATTAAATAGATATTTGGACAGAATGAAAAAGCCATGCCCTGCAGTTGCAGGAAATAGATTCTGAGGTATCACAGCAAACAACCATTATTTGCACAACCAATTCCTTGTTTAAGAAAACCCCAGTCAGATATGCCAACAAGTCTAAAGTCCTCTTCACCTTCTTTTTAAGAGGTTCTAATAAGCCCTAAGGACTAACAAAAATCCACATGTCAAATTATCTTCCCATATGGTGTAAGTGGCTGGTCTCTAGGGCAACACTTGTGTGCCATGCTAATGTATATAAATGACATTTGATCAAAGTCAGCTGGAATTTCCCTCCTTTCCTCCTGAGCTTAGCACACTGTAATATTGAAAGATCAAAATTATTCCTCGGCTTTTCCATTTGTTCTTAATTTATCTTTCAAAAGGAGATAATTATCATGGTTTAAAACCCTTTTACGTATTTTAAAAGTTACTTAAAATACAAGTATGTACGCTCTATTGAAATAAATTGTACACTAATTATTACATTTTCTAAGATTAACAGAGGCCTCCCTGCAAGCCTTCTCTTTGGCTCTATCATTTTACTCATGCATTTTAGCCTTTAAGCAATACTTCCATCAAATCTCTATCTCACTATGGTCTTCCTAGAGGTCTAGTTTCAGTTATTTTGATGCTCAAGGCAGAAAATTGTAAATTACATCTCCAACAGTTATTAAAAGTGCTCAACCATGTAAGATATGTTTCCTTTAATCCCATGACAAAACAATGTGGACGCTCGACTGGTTTTGTTTTTTAAAGAAAATATAGGCTTGGGTTTATAGCATTCTCTGATACAATGTTTAACAAAGTTAAATCATTAGGGACCACTCCCTCAACTGTAAAGTGTTTAACTATTGTAAGCAAAAAAAAAAACCCACAGTGTACCTTATATAAAATAAAAACTGTTTTTATTTTATATAAGGCACATACATAGTACTGACATCATCATATGAACAGTTCACATATTGAACAAAAGGAAGATATTTCCTATGGGATGAGGGCTTACATAAGGATTTGATTTTCTACCAGAAGCTAGAGATTATTTCAATTCATACATTTAGTTATGTTTCCTAATGCATATGGAACCTTTCCCAACCACTTGATCTTTCAACTGTGGTTTCCTCAGATGAGATTTTCCTAACCTTTAGTCAGTCTCTCACAACTAAGGATAATTTACGCACAGCAATTTTCCACTAGCTCCACTTCCTCCTGCTACAGTTAGCTCCTTGGATAAAGGTTTCAAATATTGCTAGAAATGTCCTTTGGCCAGATCTCCCTCTTCAACTTTCCCTTACAACCTTAAAGAGTGGCTTCATATTCTGTTCAGGCTCCAGCTCCTATCTTCAGGTCACCTCCCAGGAGGTTTCTCTTAGATTCAGAAGGCTGCTCTCACCTCCATTCTGAACTCTATTCCTTCCAGCTTTCAACTTTGTTCCTCCAATTGGTTGTCATCAGCTGACTTTTCCCTGTCCATTCCTGGGTTTGACACGTGAGTGCTCCACAACAAGATGAGCTCTCCTTACTTGACTAATTAAGAAGAGAAGCAACCTAAGAACTAAGGAGAAATTTCCTAACAATGAGAATGATTGATCAGTGGAAGGGCTTGCCTTCAGAAGTTGTGGATGCTCCATCACTGGAGGCTTGTAAGGAGAGACTGGAATGGTAGGGTCTCCTGCTTGAGCAGAGGGTTGGACTAGAAGACTTCCAAGGTCCCTTCCAACTCTGCTATTCTGTTACTTGCCCCAGTATTCTGTTACTTGCCTACCTAGCAATTCAAAAGCATGCAAATGCGAATAGATAAATAGGTACCATTTCAGTGGGAAGGTAACAGTGTTCCGTGCACCTCAGCAGCAGTCATGCTGATCACAGGACCACGTAAATGTCTTCAGACAATGCTGGCTCTCTTAGTTAAGAAACAGAAATGAGCACTGCCCCCTAGTGTCAGGAATGTCTGGACAGGGGAAACCTTTACCTTTATATTTATAAACCTGGTTTTTGACTTAGTTATGGTTTCTACAGGAATTACAGTGACTCAAGCCCAATATGTAGCAAAAGAGGCTTCCACTCTCAAAAGAAAAATATTACAATACATAAACCAGTAATATCTCAGTAATATAATTCTCTGCCAAGTGTCAGGATTTCCAAAAGAGAGGTCAAACAGGCCACCCGCATTCGGATTGAACAGCCCTCTCTCAACTGAGGGGAGGGGTATGATACCACTTATCTCCTGTTTAAAACACAATCCTTTCAGCAGTTCCAAGAAAGTTCCACACTATTAAAGTGACCCTTAAGGCACAGATGAACCTCCAAGTTGCCTCAACACCTCTCAGAATGAGTGCTAATAACCAGATGATTGCAAGGAATATAAAATCTTTCCATTCTCCTCCATTCAATTACAATTGAAGAAACTTCTTGGATGAGAAGCTAAACTTCTTCAAGAAAAAAAAAAAACCCCAAAGTCTAAGTTGCCTTTTGAAAAAGCACCTTTGGGACAACTATGACCTGAATGACTGAGAATCTCCACAGACATTCAGAATTTCCAAATGAAAAAAAGTAACATAAATTTTCATATATGGGGAGGGAGAAAAACAAAATGCTGTAGAAGCGGCGGGGGGGGATATCACATTTTGAATATTAATTAGTCTGGACTGATTGTAGTGTTTAATGTAAATTCTCAGCCTGTTCTTCCAGCCTTTTCAGTGAATTTTTGATGGTTCTGAGAATAAATTGTAATTTTAATGTAAAAGTTGAAGAGGAACTGTATGTAATACAGTTGGAAGATTCAGAATAGGAACCTGCAACGATGCAGAACAATGACTAATAGACTTCTGTACAGAAAATAGGATGTATGTCCCTTAATACATTACTTTTCAACAACAAAAGACAGCTTTTAACCCGGACATCTACAAATGGGCAACATTATAATCAACAGAATGTATCTTATGTAACAACAGATGGAAAATATCTATACTGAATGGCAGAATATGTTGAGTGCTGACTGTGAATTAGATTCATCCACTACTAGTCATAGAAATACACCAGTCTGAAAAACACTAGAGAAGACCCTGGCATACATATTTCAAACCCATTCAGAAGAATGTAAAATTGAGATGAGAAACAGATTCAAAAGGCTGCACCTAGTTGACAGAAAGCTCAAGGATTCATTGGAGTTAGTTAAAATGTTTGTAAAAAAGAACGCTAAAAATAAATATTAAAAGCCAGAAGAAGACAAATAATGCACTGGCTATCACACAAGGCCATAGCAATGACTAAAGAAAGAAGGCAAATGGCAAAGCAGATCTAGAGAAAGTAGAGTACTTAATACAAGCTACCAGTGACAGGTGAGAAGAAATAACGATGTATATACAAATTCAGAATATAGACAATACAGTAAAATAATAGAAGGGGAAGAACAAGGGATCTATTTAAGAAAATCACAAAAAAATCAGAGTCATAAGGAACATCAAATGAATTAATGATGGAACATAATATGAAAAAGTTGGAAGAAATACCCAGAAAATCTGTACAAAATGATCAACTAAGATGGCAATATATTAGAGAAAGAAGAATGTGAGGAGGAAACAATGGTGCTTGAGGAGGAAATGCAATGGAATATGAAACAACTGGGAAATTGGAAAGCCTCAGGGATGGATCCCCATACAGCTCTTGAAGAAGGCTGGTGTGGAAACATTAAAGATCACAGCAAACCTCTGCTAACAAATATGGAGAAAAGCACCATGGAGCAAAGACTGGAAAAGATTCAAATCCTTAAAAAGGGAGTTTTATCTCCTAATTAGAGCATATAGATAGAGGTTCATTTTATATACAATTAATGATTATTAACTGTGTTCTAATTAGCCTTAACAATACATGGCAGTGAGATTCTGTTGGAAATTCTGCAAAAGAGATCAAGGTCTACAAAATCCTGTATTGAGAGAGAAGTGACAATTGGAACAAGCAGGTTTCAGAAAACAAACAAACAGGGAAACATGAAACTTTATAATAATATTGACTGTTTTAATGGAACAGTAAGAAAATATCAAAAGGAGCTCTATTTCTGTTTTACTCCAAAGCTTTTCATAGTGTTAATCATTCAAGACTTAGCAGTCCTTCAAAGCAATGAGTATACCTCAATATCTTCTCCTGATAAGAAATCTCTACAATAACTAGGAAGCAACCATGCGAACAAAATCTTGAGTCAACCTGAATTGCTTTCTATCACCATACTTGTTCCATTTATATGCCGAATACAACGTACAGACTACAGTACTAGGTTGGAGTAAAAATACTCGCTGGAAGGAATATCAGTAATCTGAGAAAAATCAACACTACCTTGATTGCAGAAACTGAAAAAGACCTAAGAGGATCTTCTAAAAGCAAAACAGAAGATCAAGAAAGCCAATTATGTCAACTGGAAAACAAGAAGAATTAAAGATTAACAATATATAGAAGTAGTTGACACTTAACATTTCAAGGCTCTAGCATCGATAAGAGAGTGGCATACAATGGTTTTGGAGAAGAACGAGAAGGGTAAAAAGATATTAAAGAGCCTAAATAAGCTCATGAAAGCCTAGACATTTCAAGTAAGAGAAAATTAAATTGGACAACTCAATGGTATTCCCTGTTCATAGGAGTTCACTCAAAATTCTGGTTAACCTACTGGATCACAGTATTTCATCATACAAATTAATATTGCAATGTAGAATTAATTTACAGGATAGTACATACTACGATCGGTAATGTCAAGATTCAGAAGATATCTCAATTGTTACTGATCTTATTCTGTCCCATCAGGTTCCCACTCCAAATTAATTTAACCTCAACCCTGATGACATTTTAAAGCCTTGAAGATGTGGATAAACCCCAGCGTATGGCTCTTGTACGCTGGGCAAAATAGTCATTCTGGTTTTTTTTCTGACGTGGGTTTACATGGTTTGAGTTTGACTGTCTTTGGGTGTTACTGTGTTATTATTGTGTTTCTGTTGCTTGCTATTATTTATATTTATTCTACTGGGTTTTCTACCTTTCTTATCTGGCCAGAGGTTTGACTGGATGATGGACAGCTACATCAATCAATCCAAAAAATAATTTGGTTTATTGCAGAAACTCAGGCGAATTCTCAACAACACTAGAACTCTTGACGTGGGTTAAAGAATGGATAACATTAAGGAAAACTAGATTGTTGACATTAGAAGGTCATGATTTGTTGTTGGGCTGGCATGCTTTTTTATGGTACAAGGGAACGAAAACACAGGGGTATTTTAGGAGACATTATATACGGGAGTCTCTGTGGTTGAATTGGGAGAAGATAAAAAAACAGTGTTATTTGAAAATTCCAGTTTGGTTATCGACGATAGAAGCGTTCTCTTATCCTATAATTTATAAAAAGGAACAAACAGTTAACTATGGGGATTTATTAGATGAAAAGGGTGAACTTAAATCGATGCAAAAACTGGAAGAACAAGGTATACAGATGAATTGGTTTTCATACTTGCAAATACATTCAAAGTACTATGAGGATTCCAAAGCAGAGGGATTTTATGATAAGCAAACTGACTTGGATAAGATTTTGATGGGTACTGATGAAAAGGTGATTAAAAAATTGTATGGTTATTTATTGCAAATTAAGCTTGAGGAAGAACAAGTTAAAGAAACTATGATTGCGTGGGGGAGGAATTTTGGATATGGGATTGATTTAGAGAAATGGCAGAAATTATGGTCGCAAAATTATAAAATGACAATGTCTACAGCCTATAAAGAAAACTTGTATAAGATGTTTTACAGGTGGCATTTTCCCCCGACAAGGATAGCAAGAATGTTCAAGAATAAATCCGAAAAATGCTGGAAGTGTCATCAGAAACCTGGTTCATACTATCACATGTGGTGGACTTGTGAGGATGCTAGAAAATATTGGACTAAAATCCACATGTGGCTGGAAAAAATGACGAAGAAGCATATAGACTTGAAACCGGAGTTTTTTCTATTGGGAATCCTACCAGATACTTATAGTAAAGAGTTGAAATATTTGATTGTAAATGTATTGACTGCTGCTAGGATTGTATTTGCAAAAAATTGGAAAAGTGAAAAAATTCCATTGCAAGAAGAAGTTGTAAAGAAAATTTTGGAATGTGCTGAGATGAGTAGATTGACTTTTGAAATTAGAGAGCAAGAAGATAAACAATTTTATTTAGTTTGGGATCTTTTCTATCAATGGTTGAATGATGAAATATTAAAATATAAAAGTTAGATAATAAGGAATAATAATGTCTTTATTTTCCCTTTCTTTTTATTGGTTTTTGATACTATATCTATATAATAGTTTTCTTTGTTTCTTTTTTTTCATATTTGGGATAGAATTGGTATGATTATAAGATTTGTTTTAGAATAGGGTACTTAAAATATAGTTATCTCACAAAGGCATGATCGAATAAAAGTTTAGTCAAATTTTTCTTTTTTTTTTTAATGGCGATACTAGGATTTATAAATTTGTATTGATAAGAGTGTTATGTGAAGTGACTGTAATTGTGACTATGAGGTGAATGCACAAAACCGATGGACCAACCGACTTACTGTGTGTACAAAAATATGGGGGAGCTGATATTTTTATGTTTTGTCGTTGTGTTTTGTATGTTAAAAAACAATAAAAAATTTTAAAAAAAACAAAACACTAGAACTCTTCAGAACATGGCACAGCAGCATAGAATAAAGAACATTGTAGAATTCATATATCAGACCAATTTGCACTTTCCAAATTAAGTATATGAATTAGAATGAAGTACATAATTAGAATGAATCATACAGATTTCAGATCACAGTACATTCATAGACATAAATCTTTTAAGGAAAACGCACACTTAACTTTCTTTTTAAATGTATGTTTATCTAGCATGTAAATGTGGGTGTTCATGTATTTAAAAAAATAAAATCTGCACTGATGCAGAAATAAGACACACCGCATTTATGAAAACAGATAAAACTGAAAGGCCAAATTGGAGTGATCTACTCCCTTCTACCTTGGACAGCAGAACCTGTCTTGACAATGTCAGCTTCATTCCTTTTCTTAAGACAGGAAGAGAGAGTATTGTGGCTTCAGCAATGCAGTAGGAGAAAGTGCATCATTTTTAAGATTAAGCATATCGCATTTCTTTATAAAGTTTCAAAGCAATGAAACTTTATGCATGTAAAGCAACCTGCCATTTATTGACATTTGAGCACAGGTGCTCTAAGTTATCCAGAATTGGATTATTATAATTTGCTCTACATGGGGATGCCCATGAAAACTTCAGCTGATCTCAAATATAGCAGCCAATATGCCTACCGGGAAATCTCAACACTGTTATGTTACACAACTGCTGCATTGGGTGACAGGATGATCTCAAGTCTAATTCATGGTGCTGGTTATAACAACACTCAATGCTAGATGTGCAACAAACCACCTCTCTCACGTAGTTTCTGCTTGCCCTGTCTGGTAATTCAGAGAAAAGTTGCTATCCCGACCCCAATTATGAGGGTCTATCTAACCTGAAGATAGTGGTGATGGCTACATTGGAAGAGAAAAACTGGGGACACCAGATGTTTGCTTTTTGTGTTTATTGCATTTATTGGGTTGTGTTTATTATTGGTTATTGGGTATGTATGTATGTATGTATGTATGTATGTATGTATGTATGTATCTATCTATCTATGTATGTATGTATGTATGTATGTATGTATTGCTTTTTATTGCCAGTGGGTGCCACCCAAAGTTGTTGTTTTTTTTCAAATGGATGGCCATAGAAATCTTTTAAATAAATCAAGATAAATAAACTATTTAGCAATTTAGCAATTTGGTCGCTCCCGGTGGCATTAACCCTTCCACCTAAGGGTTTTCCCATCTCTTACTTTTTGAGATTCCCCCCCTCCTCCCCACTCGATAAAACCTAGGATAGTTTCACTGCTCTGTTTATACATCTATAATTCAATTCCACTGCATTCATAAAGGTGAAAACAAAAAAATGTTAGAAGAGCTGAGTTCATTTTTATGTAAGCTTTCCTAGTTGTGTGAATGCTTTTTATATGTCACAGCGTAGATTGAAGCCTATTTTACTATACCTGATCCATCTGCCAGAACAGGCAAAGGCACAATCACAGATTTATTTCTCCTGTCCCCACTCAAAACTTTTCTTTTTTTCAAATCTTTTTTCAAATTCCATTCCCTCTCTCTTGCACATTAATGCATGAACATAGATTTGGCAGAGGGACACTCACATATTTGTTCTAATATTCTCATACCTCCTATTTCTTCAAATTTTTCAAAAGAGGAGGCTGATCTTAGCATTTCGTTGTCCTTCACAAGGTCTTCCACTTTTTGACGTAATCTGGACGCTTCTAACTGAGACTCTTCTAATAACTCTCCTGGCAAAACAGAAAGGGTATCATTCGGCAATTCCCGATCCATCCTCAAATCTCTTTTTTCTAGCAATACATCATATCTGCATATACACCATACCAGCTTACAATGCTCGACCCATTGTACTGCATTTCAATCTAATGATTATTTGATAGCTTATCTTTTTCTATATAGAGATGGTCCTCGCTTATCAGCAGAGCAGTCAAATGTTTGTACACAGACTAAGTAGTTGATTAAGCAAGTATCTCTATGTAGGAAAAAAGATAACTTTTTCACTTTACACAAGTGTCTCATTCATGTACATCCATAATTCAGTTTTTGTTCTGACCTAGGCTTCTCCAAAAAGCACTAAGCAGACTTTTTGTCCCTGCAAAACCCCTTTTATTAAACAAAAGTGAATTTCTTGCATTCACATTCAGCCAAAGGCCTGGCAAACAGTCTTTCAAGGGTGTAATTAGGAACACAAGACAATATCAAGCCTGAAGGGCTGCCAAGTAAATATTTTCAAATGCAGTGCTGACAAGGAAGGGCTTGGCACAGAGTCTCTGAGATGCACAGAGAGATCTTCACACAGCTGCAATGAACGAATTGTTTCCTGCAAAAGCCCCCTCCCCTTTTGCTCCTCTTTTAATCCCTATGGGAGGCGCCATTCACCATCCACCTGTGGCCTTACTCCCACATCGACCCTTAGTTTGTAATTGTTCTTTTCTTTTGGCAGCTCTGCACATGCGCAGTCTGGGAACTGGCTCCAGCTATTCCCCCACCTCACTGCTGTCTGAGTCTGAAGGCAGCTGATGACTGCCAGACTGCCCTAGCCCCATCTCTGCCTCTGATGAAGAGCCCTCGTCCGAGCCTTCCTCAGCCTCAAGGACTGGCCCATGTTCCTCCCTCACTCTCTGACTCTGCTGTCAGTTCCGCTAGCCACCAGTGGGCCACAACTTTAATGCTTTAGACTGAGATGAGATTATTTATTTATTTGTTTGTTTGTTTGATTTTGATCCTGCCTTTATTATCTTATATGTAACTCAAGGAGGCCAACATATATAATACAGTACTCCTTCCTCCTCCTATTTTCTTCACAACAACAACATCCCTGTGAGGTAGATTGGGCTGAGAGAGAGTAACTGGCCCAAAGTGTCCCAGCTGGCTTTCGTGACTAAGGTGGGACTAGCATTCATAGTCTCCTGGTTTCTAAGTTACCTCATAACCACTACATCAAACTGGCTGTCTGAAAGTACATGTGGCTCTTTAAGGCAAGGTAAGAAGGCAGCAATATCATTTGGAAGTCTTAATGGCAATGAAAGCATTAAACATACAGGTCATGTATGCCTGAATCCAGAGAATTTATCATGCCTGATTTATATGCAACATCATACTTAAAATGTCTGGCTGTAACATACAACTCTTACATTTACATTATTAAGTGCAAACTATGTTATTTTGCATTGGTACGAAAAAGGAAAATATCTAGTGGAAGAAGCAGCTGTCTTCCTTCATATATATCCCATAAATATACTACTTCTACTTGAGACTAGGCTTCTCTTCCACTGTGAAGAAGAAAATCACTTCATAACTTTGCTACTGTCAGAGGTGATTTTTATTTTCTTTTGCCTACAAAAAGTGACAAATTGCAGCCCATATATCAACTGATGAGCAAGTACTGCATGGGGGTATACTCCAACTTAACTTCTATAAGTTGCAGATTTGAGGGGTTTACCGATAAGAACTACATAAAAAGCTGTTTTTTCTATAGGCTATCACACATATGATGGGATTCCAAAGTCATCAACAATAATAACAAGGAGTCAATTGTGCTTCCATTTCATGCTCACCGTTACCTAGAGATTTAATCCCCTGCATCTTCTCCTTAAGTTTTGCATTTTCTTCCACTAGCCGTTCAAAGGCAGCAGATGCTTCTTCCTGTGTCCCCCCACCAGGGTCATAGATTCGATAAGGCCCCTTGCTTTCCATGACTGCAGATTAATTACTGAATTTCCAGGTATTTCTGCCTGATGTGAAAAACAACAAGAAAAAGTTAGCATTCCCAAAGAAAATCATCTAAGAAGGTTGAAAATCTTAAGAGCACGGGACAGTTTCAGTCGGTGTACCAACAGTCACCAATGAGATCCTGCCTGTAGACTAGCCCTTTAATAGAAACAAATAATCTGAATTTAGATTACATTTTTTCTAGATATCAATTTCTTGGTCAGTCGTAACCATCTAGATCATGGGTGTCAAACTTGTGGCATCACATTGCATATATGTGTGTGTGTGTGCATGTATGTATGCATGTATGTAGCATTGTGCTCATAAGTTTACATATCCTGGCAGAATTTATGATTTCTTGGCCATTTTTCAGAGAATATGAATGATAACACAAAAACTTTTCTTTTACTCATGGTTAGTGTATGGCTGAAGCCATTTATTATCAATCAACTGTGTTTACTCTGTTTAAATCATAATGACAACAGAAACTACCCAAATGACCCTGATCAAAAGTTTACGTACCCTGGTGATTTGGGCCTGATAACATGCACACAGGTTGGCACAAAGGGGTTTGAATGGCTATTAAAGGTAACCATCCTCACCTGTGATCTGTTTGCTTGTAATTAGTGTGTGTGTATAAAAGGTCAATGAGTTCCTGGATTCCTGACAGACCCTTGCATCTTTCATCCAGTGCTGTACTGATGTTTCTGGCTTCTGAGTCATGGGGAAAGGAAAAGAATTGTCAAAGGATCTGCGGAAAAAGGTAGCTGAACTATATAAAACAGGAAAGGGATATAAAAAGATATCCAGGGATTGAGAATACCAATCAGCAGTGTTCAAAAACTAATCAAGAAGTGGAAAATGAGGAGCTCTGTTGAAACCAAACCACGGCCAGGCAGACCAACTAAAATTTCGGCCATAACTGCCAGGAAAATTGTTCGGGATGCAAAGAAAAACCCACAAATAATTTCAGGTGAAATACAGGACTCTCTAAAAACGTATGGTGTGGCTGTTTCAAGATGCACAGTAAGGAGGCACTGGAAGAAAGATGGGCTGCATGGTCGAGTCGCAAGAAGAAAGCCATTACTACGCAAATACCACAAAGTATCCCGCTTACAATATGTCAAACAGCACAGAGACAAGCCTCCAAGCTTCTGGCACAAAGTCATTTGGAATGATGAGACCAAAATTGAGCTTTTTGGCCACAACCATAAATGCTATATTTGGAGAGGAGTCAACAAGGCCTATGATAAAAAGTACTTACTGTGAAACACAGAGGTGGATCACTGATGTTTTGGGAATGTGTGAGCTACATAGGCACAGGAAATTTGGTCAGAATTGATGGCAAGATGAATGCAGTATGTTATCAAAAGATACTGGAGGAAAATTTGCATTCAACAGCCGGAAGCTGTGCACGGGACATACTTGGACATTCCAACATGACAATGATCCTAAACACAAGGCCAAGTCGACCTATCATTGGCTACAGCAGACTAAAGTGAAAGTTCTGGAGTGGCCATCTCAGTTTCCTGACCTCAATATCATTGAGCCACTCTGGGGAGATTTCAAACGGGCAGTTCATGCAAGACAGCCCAAGAATTTACAGGAACTGGAGGATTTTTGCCAGGAAGAATGGGCAGCTTTACCAAAATCTGAGAAGATAAAGAACCTCATGATCCACACATACCACAAAAGACTTCAAGTTGTCATTGATGTTAAAGGGAGCAATACACCATATTAAGAACTGGGACATGTAAACTTCTGATCGGGGTCATTTGGGTAGTTTCTGTTGTCATTAGTTCTCTTGTATAATTTTGGAATTTAAAATATGTGTGTTATCAGATAGGAATAAATCAACCATTGATCAATACAGGTAACAAAAAAGAAAGTGAATCACAAATAGATAAGTAGCTTCTAGAAACAGGAAAAAAATATTTTTTCTACGTTACTAAGAAATATATAAGGCCAATATTTAGACACCATTAGTCCATTGCAGCATTTATGACATGAAACCCTGATCTAAATTTTATTGCTGAAGTAATTTCGGAAAGTCCAGAGTCTTGTGATCAAATGTGCTACAGTCCCATGCATCTCCCCCTGATTCAATTTTTCTGATACTGGTCACCTCCTGATTCCAGTCATTCTAGCATTTTAGGAAGAATGACAATTCTCAAGAAACAACTACACTTGAGGAGATCCAAGCTTTTAATTCCTGATGTTTCACCAATGCCCTCCTACTCACTTCTTGAGAACTCTAGAGGTTTTTCCCCCCCCGCATACGTTTTCTTACACAGGCTTTGAATTATATCATTCACATGTTGCTCAATGTTTCAGATTACATACTTTTTCCATTCTGATTTATTTACAAAAAAATAATTTGCATTCTGCATTTATACTTCTGATTAGCAAATTCTCCATGTAGGCTGTTATTCTCAGGGCAGGCAGCTGTGACAGTAACCAGCATTAAATTATCAAATATTTCTAACTCAAAAATCACTATTAAGCTGTATACCATTTTCAGATACATGGGAAATGCTAAACAGAAATGTAGGAATGTTTTCTAAAATACGTTACGGATTAAAGGTCTTGGCACTGAACCTCAAAAATAATGCTCTAAGAAATCTGAACTCGGCATTGAATTATGGCAAGGGGGCCAGGCATGGGTTAAAAAGCTTTAGTTGGAGTAGAACATTTCATGTAATGATAAAATTGTAAGAAATATAATGCTGGATCAGACTAAAGGGCCACTCAGTTCAGCATTCTCTTTTCATATTGAGTAATTAGATGCAGTGAGAAAGCCACAAAATCTGAAAACAAAACAAACTTCCCACTCATGTTCTCAGCAATTAAGTTGTCTCCAACTGAAAAAATATATAACCATCATGACTTTTCTTTCTGATAAAATCCTCCACGTTCCTTCCTTCTATAATCTCAAAATAAGAAGAAGGCAATGTTGTGTATGCTTCATTCATTATGCTGGATTAAGTCAAGTATAGACAGCAACTTTATTAGCTGGAGATGATGGGATTTGCAATCCAATAGATACATCCTAGAGGACATCAGATTAAGAAAAGTTGTTTAATGAGCAAGTATAATTGGAACTATAATTGGAATAAATCTGATCAAGGTCTTTAGAGCTTCTTCAATAATAAATTGTTTTTTGAATACACATTTTACATTGCGGTATATTAAACGGCAAGTTCACACAGGAGTATTTTTTATTATTCGAGTGTGCAGTTCAGTCTCAGTTCAGAGATATTTACACTGAGAATGCTTCATATTAAAAATACTGGATTAACTTCATACACACTGCCTCCAAAAATTATCTTTAGATCAGTTAGTGATTCTCTGAACTTCTGAGAAGTATGGCAGTTAAATCTCAGCCAAATTTGTTACCTAAAAATCTCTATGAAATGGTTACAAAAGCAGCTAATTACAAAAGGGTTCTAAAATTTCCTTCCCTCTATGAGAATACATGCTTTTATGCTTTGTAATCTCATGCAAATCCAGATACTTATAGTAAGGAGTCCTGTAGCACAGTGGCCCCCAACCTTTTTTGTGCCACGGCCCGGTACCGGCATCACAAAATGATCCGCGGCCCGGTACCGGCATCAGCACGCATGACAAGGCAAGGCGAGCCGAGCAACCGGCCAGCCAGCCATCCCCCGCTTCTCCACGCCACCTTCAACTCCTCCTTTGTACCTTTTTTGTGCTTTTTTGATCTCCTCCGCCATCGAGACGGCTCTTCGTTCGAAGCCTCCCCCCCCTTCGATGAAACTAAAACGCGAAGATTCCTTCAGGACCCAAACGCCGCTTTCCAACCGGAAAAGCTCACCCAGAAGCACTTTCTGTCAAAACAAGTTGGTGGCACCCAGCAAACCGGTGGCCCGGTAGAAAATGATCCACAGACCGGTACCGGTCCGGGGCCCGGTGGTTGGGGACCCCGGCTGTAGCAGATGACTATAGGAATGCAAATGGCACCTATGTCTATATCACTAATACTTTTTTTCCCAATCCATGCAGAGATTATCAGTTAGGGTTATTGGAAAAACTCCTATTTCGTGTAATTGATTAGTCATATATTAAAAGGAAAAACAAAATGAAGAACTAATTAATACAACTTATAAGTAATCTGCATAAATAATTGATACAATAAGTAGTTGAGGTCATTTTTATAGTATAGCTTTTAACAGCAAATTAAACTAATCTTTCACAAAGTTTTCCACCAACAATTATTTGAAAAATATTCAGCAAACTCTCCTGACAATACTAGGTACCAGCAAAATTCAAACCTTGCAAAATCCTGGTTTTAATCCTGGTTCACTGAATAGCGTACAATTGGTTAAGTGCTCACTAAGTGCTAAATTAGACAATATTCTTCAAAAAACACATTGGGTTCATTCAAGACACTTAGCTTTTAATAAGATAACGGAGTTGGGGCAATTAATTGGATGGGGATGAAAAAGGCTCCCCAGATTCCTAAATTCTCCCATTTCCCCTCAATCTTGGAGACAGAAGAAAAGAAAAGCTGAAGAAACAGAAAGATGAAACTCTTAAGTATCAAATGCTGGGAGTGAAATGCTACAGAAGTAGTTCTGCTCCCTCATAGCAATAGGGTGGCCACTATTAGAACAGAATACGAAACTTAGTTTCAATTCTTGAATTGCAAAATGTGCAAAGTGGGGACTAACTTTAGACAGGCTGTAGTGGTTGCCTCAGACAGCTGAAGATGTGGACATAAGCAAAAATTCCTAATTGCTCTTCCTAAGCTCCAGACCTAGTCCCTTCTGCATAAAAACAAGGCATGGTGGGCCACCAAATCTACCTTGTTTTGTTTTCTTCAAGCATTAAAGCTTCCTGTATGTGCTGTAATGACCCAGCCAATTGTAGCTATCAGGAAATGGGATGGAAATGTGCATCTTTATTACCACGCAAGAAGAGATACATGTGGAATTTTCATATTTTGGCTTACTGCACATCCAAACTGGCCTTTCATACTGTGGCCTCTGGTGTGTCTTTGTGT